CAAAAATCGTTAATTAAGTTGATTGCTTTGAATTGGCTGGCATTTATTAGCCAGGATTGCGTTGTTGACCCGCCAGTCGAAAAGTCCCAACCCCCGTCCCTTTAGTTGGCCATAATTGATGAGCTGACAGTTCGTTAATTGATTTTGCTCTGTGATTAGAGCTCCACACGATGGGAGAATTGATCTTATTAGCTGCCACATGAAACGGAGCTAAATATTCTATTGGTGGGAACTGGGTCAGAGGCTAAGAGCCTTGGCCAAAAGGTGCCAGGCCATAAATAAGTAAATTAAAGTCAATGCAAATTTCGGCTGCACAGTTTCTGTTTGTCTGTGTCCGCAGGCTGGCAAAATATTTGACAAAATAGACCGAATCAAACAGAACCACTTGACCAACTGACTGTCATTCGAAAACCAACAAAATGCCCCAAAACGAAGTTCACTTCAATCAGGAGGAAAACGAATTTTGTGGCCAAGAAAGAGGCGAACTTTAGGGCGTTCAATCAGATAAATGCAACTGGGCAAAGTGGATTTTAAATAAAAAACTTTGGCCATAAGCACTCGTCGTCCGTTTTCAGGGTTGACATTTTAACTAACTTTGCCTACATTCGCATACCCACAGTGACAACTATAGTAACTTCTGTGTTTTTTTATTTCGGGGGTTATGTATGATATTTTGTCATATCTAAACCACAGAATACGAGTGCAGGAAACTTTTTGTGCTGTCATAAATTTCCGCAATGCAAACATTTATCAGCACGGCTGGACCCCTTAACCCTCGGGTGGGAGTTGGGGGTTGGACGTTCCCGCATCCACTTTCAAGCTCAGCTGCTGCTATTTTCCCTGACTGACTTTGTTATGTCTCTGGATGTGGATGTGTTTCTGGCTTTGGTTCCTGTTTTTGTCTGCTTCTCTGCTTTTTGTCGTTTGGCTCGTGTTGAGTAAATGCTTTTTATGCGGAACCGCAGGAACATCTGGGCAGGATTGGTTTTTAGGCACCACCTGCTATACATTCACATGTGATGTCCTTACACTGCTAGAAAAGTTCATACTTGGCCCTGATTCCTGCTGAAAAAGTTGTAGAATTAAATTTTATGGCCTGAAAATAAAAAGTGCTACAATTGAAGCAACAACTTTAGTCATTTATTTAAATGCCTCGTAATAATTTAAGTGTTGACATATTGTCTGCGTTTTTCTTTTTAACTTTCACTTGAGGGAAACTTTTTCCTTTTGTTTTTTTCCAGCTGCTTCTGAAGTTTTGAGCTTTTATTGTGTCGCTTGGCAATTTAATGAATTTTAATGAGAAGTTATTCGGCGAGAGCAAGTAACAGATTGGCTTTTAAAGCCCCAGCCTTTCACTTTTGATTGTACTTTTTATGACAATATGTAATATTTTTAAATTCTGAGAGTAGTCGCTATTAAATTGTTACTAATAGTAGGGTATTATAATTTCAGTCAGCTGTAAAGGGCACAATTTCGGCCCTATATATATATATATATTCTTGATCAGTACCACCTCACGAGTCAAACTAGCCATGTCCGTCTGTCCGTTTTATGCAAACTAGTCCTACAGTTTAAAAGCTATTTGAATGAAACTTAGCAAGAAGTCTTCTTTCAATTGCAGTTAATAAATATACTGAATTATAGTGACCACAGGAAAAAAGGACAAAAAGTTCAAATTATCAATTTGAATTCGGCGATCTCTTAGTGCTGGCAGCTTTACAGCACGAGCATCAGCACCAGCGCTGCTTTAGCGCAGGCAGCTTTTGTCCTGCACCAGCAGCTGTGTTTATGTTTATGTTTTTGAGTGCAATAAATTGACTAGAAATATTAAACATACATACTTATATTGGCTAAACACATACATTCTTAAATAGTATTATATATATTAAAGTCTAAATGTTTGCACAACACGAGTAACGGGTATAGCGAATAGCTTTCTTTGAAAGGAGTTATCTTTGTCGGGCAATTGCAACTGTGTACAATGTAAATGCATACAAATGTATATGCTTACATACATACACACATACGCCATTGCACTATGGGGTTTTTGACCTGTTTTTGTGGCATTAATTAATAACTCGGTCAGTTTTGGAGATATCGACATGAAACTTTACCAATCGTCATTATTTGTCCCTAGGCACATATAGTGTGAAAATCGTTTGGATCAGGAAACAATATCCTATAGCTCCCATAGGAACGATCGGTTAAAACTAAAAAAAAATTAATGAAATTTAAGGAGCTAAAATTTGTTGCTCCATGCCTATAAAAGTGGATGATAATAAGTGCAACAAAAGCAAAAAGAAAAAATTTCATCAAACTCAAAACTCATCGGCAGCCACGGATACATATCGACTAACAATTCGCCAGTTTGTAGGCAAAATGATTCGAATTTGTCCAAATTGACGGGCAACTGACAGGACAAACATATCAAAATGATCCTCATATTATAAATAATTTGTTCATCAAACATTGTATAGCCTTTTCTTGCTCAAGCCGGCCCTTCTCGCTATTGCAAACAGCAACCAAGTCGGCGTTGGAGAAAGTGAGGTTATCTAAGAAAAATTCAAATTGCACCAATAGTGCGGAAAAGTGCACAATGAGACTAACAGATTTTTGCTCAGAATTGACAAGGCTACAACATACACTTGGACGCATTGAAAACTAATGCAAACTTCTACTTCAAAACTCTTCCCAAAGTTGAAATTTGTTCCTCAAAATTCAGCTTAAGGTGCATTTATAAAATGACAAAATATTAGTATAAACACGCATAATTAAAACAATTAATACATTTAACATATAGTACAAGCCTGTGAGATCAGTTTCCATTATTTTTTTTTCTTTTCAAATTGTGTTTTACACGAATAAATTAATTTCAAAGAACGCTTTGAAAAAATTGCAAACTTAGCGCTGGTGCTTTCGGATGCAACAGCTGACTTTACAGCTGTTATGCTAACATATGCTGTTAAGTATTAACATTTTGAGTATGAGGCATAACAGTTTGATGTTCTGTTAATGCATTCCCATTTTTTTTTTTTTAATTAGAGCACTTTTAAACAAGAAAGGAAAGCTAACTTCGGGCGGAGCCGAAGTTGATATACCCTTGCAGAATATTCTATAAATTATATTCTCCAAAATTATTCATATGATGCATTCTTAATACTTAAAAAAAGTCCCAACTTCCTAACTTTAAAAACAACAAAGTTATGTCATTTCCAATCGTTCAGTTATATGGCAGCTATAAAATATAGTCGGCCGATCCTTATGAAATTTGGTAGGTCGGATTGATTAACCAAATATAAAATCCATAGAAGATCCCAGCCTCCTAACTTTACAAACACCAATGTTATGGCATTTCCGATCAATCAGTTATATGGCAGCTATAAGATATAGTCGGCCGATCCTTATGAAATTTGGTAGGTCGGATTGATTAACCAAATATAAAATCCATAGAAGATCCCAGCCTCCTAACTTTACAAACACCAATGTTATGGCATTTCCGATCAATCAGTTATATGGCAGCTATAGGATATAGTCGTCCGATCCTTATGAAATTTGGGAGGTCGGATTTATTAGCCAAAAATAAAACCCATAGAAAATCCCAACTTCCTAACTTTAAAAACACCAAAGATATGGCATTTCCGATCGTTCAGTTATATGGCAGCTATATGATATAGTGGCCCGATCCGGCTCGTTCCGACTTATATACTACCTGCAATAGAAAGACAACTTTTGGGAAAGTTTCAAGCAGATAGCTTTAAAACTGAGGGACTAGTTTGCGTAGAAACGGACGGACAGACGGACAGACGGACAGACGGACAGACGGACAGACGGACGGACAGACGGACATGGCTAGATCGACTCTCCTGGTGATGCTGATCAAGAATATATATACTTTATAGGGTCGGAAATGTCTCCTTCACTGCGTTGCAAACTTTTGACTGAAATTATAATACCCTCTGCAAGGGTATAAAAATGACTAAATGCCACATAAAGTGGTCAAAAACCCCATAGTGCATTGTTTGACTCAGACCTCCAATTTGGCTAACTAGATTTGATTTGCATAGTTCTTGGGATATAGTTCGGTATTGACAAATGAAAACCATCGCAATTTCCTTTAATAGAAATCCTTATCGAGAATTAACGTTGACTCTGTTGAGCACCTTGGCCAGCTGTTCGAAAGTCATCCGTTAGATGGCGCCATGAAAGGCGGAAATGTAGGCGCTAGCCAGGCTTAAGCGTTGAATGGGTTTTGGGCAAACTTTTATTAGGCCAATCGATATTTATTGACGAAACAAATACATATCAATTAAAATTTTCATAATATTTGGGCGTCAGAGGGGGCGTGGCACCATTGTGAAACAAACTTGCAAAATGCCAATCTTCTAGCTTTTATAGTTTCCGAGATCTCAGCGTTCATACAAACAGACAGACGGACAGACGGACATGGCTAGATCGGCTTTATAAGGTCGGAAAGGCTTCCTTCTACCTGTTACATACTTTTGCACGAATACAATATACCCTTTTACTCTACGAGTAACGGGTATTATCATATATAGTAATTTTCAACGATTTCAAAACTATGGGCTTACTTTTACAAAAAAGGGTCAACTTTATCATATAGCTGCCTTGGGAACTCTTCAAAAATTTATCTGAAAATAGCTTTATTTTATTTGATCATCGAAGTCAAAATCTAGAATATTTCATTTTTGTAAAAGCGGCAAGGGTATATAAACTTCGAATGGCCGAAGCATGCTTTCTTTCTTGTTTTTTGTTGGTTCAAAATTATTGTTTTAACTAATCATGTTTTTCTGAGCAATCGTGATTAATAATTTTTTTTAGTCTATATCAATTAGATTCCTCAGAATCAAATTACAATCCGGAAAATAATGGAGTTTAATGTTTACTGGTCGACGTAGTTACTATTGTGTTATTCATCGAGTGGCTAAGTAGAGGTGTTTAATAAAATCTCCCCTCCCCACCAAATCATTGATCAAATAAAGTTCGTTAGAATTCATTTTATTTTTGTGCGAAATGTTAGTCCCGGACCACTCCTTAGTAGGAGATGCCAGTGTTGGACTTGATCCAATCCAGGTAGCTGGTCAGACGGGTGAAGGCAGCGGGGTATCCCTTCTCGCAACCGGCAGCGGCACCGAAGGAGGTCAGACCGACCTGGGTGGTGGTGCTCTTGAGGACCAGAGGACCGCCGGAGTCACCGTTGCAGGTGGACTGGCCGTTGGGGGTGGCAACGCAAATGTTGGAGCTGGTCACGATCGAGGTGCCGTAGGTGTTGGCGCACACGGCGTTGGTGATGACAGTCAGGTCGACGTACTGCAGGTTGGTGGCAACGGAGCTGGCGGTGTCGCTGGTGCGGCCCCATCCGGAGGCGACCACGGTCTCACCGGTGTAAGTCGAGTAGGAGCTGGCGATGGAGGGCAGCTTGACGGCGCTAATCCTGCTGCTGCTGGCCACGGCGGCGATCTGGATCAGGGAGATGTCGTTGAGCAGCTTGGCGCTGTTCCAGCCGCTGTGGATGATGATTTTGGAGCTGGCGATGGTCTGGGTAACCTCAGCGGAGGTACGCACGGTGGCGCCCAGGTAGACGGTCACGGACTGAACTCTGCGCGGTTAAGAAGATCAATTGTTTAAGAAAACCTGTACATCCTGCCAGACCAGAAAGGACACTCACCCCTCGGTACAGTGAGCAGCAGTCAGCACCCACTGGCTGCCGATCAAGGAGCCACCGCACCAGGCGCTGGACAGAGCGCTCAGCTTCAGGGAGAGTCCCACCTGGTAGGGGAACTGGCCGACGGCGGCGTTGGCTCCTCCGGTGATGCGGCCCTCGATGCTGCCCACCACGGGCATCTCACGGCTGCGGTGACGCAGCTCCGGCTCCGGAAGGGCGGAGGCGGCCACGGCCAAGGCAAGGATGATCAGGAACTTCATCTCGGTGATTGTTGCGTGTTCAGTGCAGGGAACTCAACTGCTCTACCATGGCCCGGCAAGGGTCTTTTATAGTGGAGAAATCGCGTCTGCGATTAGGTTGCATTTCACAAATAGAGCTCCCGTGATTAGATAGGGCCACCAAAGTCGGTTCGAACCACCTTATCTGTCGAGATTTGTGCGGAAGATATGAATGAATGAACTTCAGCCACACGGCCACCAACATTACTTTCCCAATCCAAGGGTATTAATCCCGATACGGATCTAATCTGGACACTGGGCCTCAGGTGGATTTCCAGATTTTACGGGTGCGGTACTGAGAATCGAGCATGAGGTTGCCAATTAAATTGATTAGTTTTATACACACTGCGAATATAAAATTGGCAAAGGTTTGCTTTGCTCTTCAGCGGGTGACGTGTGCCGTTTTCTAAGATACGCAATATAGTATTTGGGCACTATCTTATCGACTGTCTAAAGTGAGAGAAATTGTAAGCCAGTAGTTTAGATGCGTTGTATGTACGGTGTGTTTACCTTCGTTAAAGGTCAAGGAGGGGGGGTTTAGTTGGTCAAGCCTGCACTAGCAGACTGCTCTGATTTTTAAAGCCCATTTTGACAGCTGAATTACAGAGCTTCACAATAAAAGCTAAATCATTCCGCTGTGAAACATTTGCCCATTGAGTGCTATTTCAATTTATAAACAAACAAAATTCAGTTGTTTTCGCAAACCGCAGCCGTTCTTTATCAACGATTGCCGCGTGATTTGATGACGCGTTTGACTGACCACATCGCTGCGGTTAATAGCCAATTCAGAGGGCCAATTAAAGACGATTAGCTGAAATGGGGAAGAGTGCTATTGCCCACGCGGCACCAACAAAAACGGACACTCAACCCGAAGACGATTTCAAACGCAGTGCCAATTTCAACAGCAATTTCCATGAAAATGCTTTTTTCTTTTTGTGCTTTTTATTAAGCTCCCCAAATTGACTTGCTCTGCTGAAATGCCAAAATGTTTATTGTTATTTATCGGCAACAATTTCCATTCAAGGGAAAACAACCACCCATAAAAGGGACCATTTGCACCTTCCCTTCTCGGCAGGAACCTGTCTCGATTTCATTGCTCAAATTGGTTTTATTGTCTGGCCCGACTATATTGTTTAGCAATTAATGGGCTGCAATTAGGCGTTAATTGCATTTAGTTGGCCATTGCCGTTTGCTGTCGGATCCATGGCAAATATGTGGTTATCCTGGCGTAGACAGTGGGTGCCCCCACCTCGCAACCCTCGGCGCTGCCGAACGAGGTGACCCCGATCAGGTAGCTGTCATTGCGCCATTGGTAAACCAATGGCCCACCGGAATCGCCGTTGCATGCACCCCGTCTGTCTCGTCCATCGGTGCACAGGTGACGTCGCTGGCTAACCAATCCTGGCAAGAAGTAGCAGATGCAGCGTTCCTGGAAGATCACCTCCACATCCAAGTACTGAAGAAGTCGGGTGTCATTCCCCGCCGCATCTCCCAAGCTGCCCCAACCCGAAAGGGTCACCACTTGACCCTCGAGAAAGTTTCGATGCATAAACTCGCCAGCGAGCTCAATAGGTTGCACTCTATCCGAGGTTGCGACTTTCCGAGGCAGTCGTATCAAAGCCAAATCATTGTATCCCCCGAACCCCAAGTATCCAGGATGAACGATGAAATCTCGATGAGTGACCACAAACTCTTGGGCGGTATCTTGCATATCGGCGAATCTTGTGGCACCCAAGTAAATCTTTGCCCCAATGCCATCGGTCAAACAATGGGCTGCAGTCAAAACAAATTGAAGGGTGATGAGCGAACCACCACACAGTACCTGATCGCTACCACTCAGCTGAATAACCAGACCCACTTGATGTGGAAACATGCCACGTGTAGCCAGTTCTCCGCCAGCTATTCGAGTGTTTATAGGAGATGTCTGGTTATCCTCCGCTTCAAATTTCTCGCAGCGAAGACGCCAGTTTTCATAGCCCAGCTGCCAACGTCGCTCCATGATTGCTTCTTCATCAGGAGAAGATTCCTCAGCAGTGTCTTCAAAACTATCCTGCCAATTTTGACTTGATGTAACCAGCAATGGAAACAGAAGGCAGAGGAATGCCATCAATGTCTGGCATTGCGTCATCATATCACTAGAAAAGAATAAAAAGGGGGTTACCCCGTTATTGCTTAGATTCTGGTGATGTGTCGTTATATTATTTAATATATGAATTATTTTACCATAATGACAATAATTAGATTTGGCATGTGAAGAGGGTACCCCTTACATTATCGAATTGTATGTTGAATGAAACTTATGAATGAAATCGGGTTTGTCATTTTACCAGTGAATTAAATGCTGATATCTGGTGCTGTAATGAACCAATCCAACTTCTGGTCTGAGTGGCCCCTTCATGTGAAGTACTAAGGTTGTTGTTGTTTTAGCTGGTGTTTTTATAGCCAGCGATTGTGGCATCATTGCGTCAACGTCTTTTGGCCCGGCACGTGTCCGCTTCGTCTGTTAATTGAATTTGCCTGGCCCAGTGCAAATTATACCTCCGGAGACGGGAAGAGCAGCAGATGTTTGGCATTCAATTCCTCAAGCTCCCGTGTAATTGCCGCACGTTTCGGCGATTATGTTGCTTAGGCCTTCGACTCCCTTTGGCCGACTGCAGTTGCCTTAATTGCTTTCGACCCATTCAGTGAGTCGACGGGCTTTCAATCCCATGGTTTCTGTTTAGCCCCCAATGCTGTCCATAATGTCTGGGTCGGGGTCTTTATATTTATTGACTGCCTCCCGCTTTATCAACACTTTATTTGTTATTTGTTTAATTTACTGCACGCCTCAACTTGCATTTCAACATATGAAAAGGTCATTGATAGTGTTCCGGATCTTATTGGTTTTAAAGTATTACAAACCAAGGCCCAATACTTTATAATGGTCATAAAGCTTGCATTACAGTAAGATTATAAGTTAAGAGTGTATTTATTTATTTGATTGGAGTTGGCCATATTTGTAAAGGTTTTACTTAAAGAGCTTCATAACAATAACTTAGTCAAGTAATAATTTGATCTAAGTTATTTAACATACTTTGCAACTAGTTAATTCCATTTATTGTTTAAATAAGTCTATTTATGTGGAAGCTTAAAACTAAAATTATATGTAGCTTCTAAATAGTCCCAGAAGTTTATAGTTATAGTCTCATTTTCCCAACCATGTTTTAAAAATGCGATAACTTTTTTTATAATATTTTATATTTTTCCAAGTTTGCAGTTTTTTTAATTTCCCAAAGCTTAGACACCGGAGTTGGTCTTGATCCAGTCCAGGTAGCTGGTCACACGGGTGAAGGCGGCAGGGGCGCCGATCTCGCAGCCGCCGGCGGATCCGAAGGAGGTGATTCCGATGAGGGTGCCAGCCAAAGCCAATGGGCCGCCGGAGTCACCCTGGCAGGTGGAGGAGGCGTTGGGGGTCTCCACGCAGATGACGTTCTTGGTCACGATCAGGCTGCCGAAGGTCTTCTGGCACACGGCGTTGTCGATGACGGTGAGGTCGACGTACTGCAGCTTCGAGGAAACGGCGGAGGCGGAGTCGGAGGTCAGGCCCCATCCGGACGCAACGGCGGTCTGTCCGGAGTAGGTGGAGTAGCTGCCGGCGATGGCGGGCAGGGCGATCTTGTTGACGGCGGACGAGAAGGTCACGGTGGGGGTCTTGATCAGGGAGATGTCGTTGCGGACGGTCAGGGACAAGTAGCTCTCGTGCTGGATCCACTCGGAGCTGGCGATGGTGTGGGTGAACTTGGGGCTGGTGCGGACGGTCGCTCCGAAGTAGACGGTCACGGACGAGCCACTGGAAAGCGGAATCCCCTTATTAGCCACGATTATTTGACAAAAAAAACAAAGCCCACTTACCCATCTGTGCAGTGAGCAGCAGTCACCACCCAGCTGTTGGAAATGATGGAGCCACCGCACCACCAGCTGCCCTTGGAGCTGGAGAAGCTGAGTCCCACCTGGTAGGGGAACTGGTCGGCCACGGCGTCCTTGCCGTTGGTGATGCGTCCTTCGATGGAGGGCAGGGCGGTCCTGTCACGAGGATGCTCAATGCCGGACTGGGGCAGGAGCGAAGCGGAGGCGGAGGCCAGGGCCAGAACCAAAACAACGAATACCTTCATGCTGATGCTTGATCAAACTAGGAGTGATTTTCCCTTGCGAATGAGGCCGCTTTTATAGCCGGCCCGTTGGGTCTTATCTTAATAGAACGCTGGCCAAGTCCACTTAACCGTTTTGATTATATTTCGCAGACATTAATATCAGTTTTTTTATTTCGACGCATTTGTAATATATTTCAAGTTTGATAAGATTTTACTTTTGTATTTGCTTATCAATCATTACGAACTTCCAACTTGTGTTTATAGCAGACAATCCAATTAATCAAAGTAGCAAACAAAACATTTTATTAAAGATCAGACATAAAGCTGGTAGAATCATAATCTCTTTATTACTTTATCTTTACAGTCTGACTGTGTATTAATCATTTAAGTAATCACTATAATTGTGTAACTTATTCCAAAAGACTTTGATGCTTTCTATAGCTTTGTCTACTGATATATCCCATTTTAAGTGCCTCGCTCGTGCCCATCCACTATGGTTGAGCGACGTGCCATATAAATGATTTCTATCTAACTATTTTGGTTTCTATTAAACAATAACGAAGAAGCTTAAGGTGTGCTCATTTTATTTTACAAAAAAGTAACAGAACTGGTAATCTTCTAAGCCGAAACTCCGGAGTTGGCCAGGATCCAGTCCAAGTAGCTGGTCACACGGGTGAAGGCAGCTGGCTCGCCAACCTCGCAGCCATCGGGCGATCCAAAGGAAGTGATGCCAATCAGGGTTCCATCCAGAGCCAGTGGGCCGCCAGAATCTCCCTGGCAGGTCGATGTGCCCTTCGGGGTGGCAACGCAAATGACCCTGCTGGTGACAATCAGACTGCTGAAGGCCTTGAGACACTCGGAGTTCTCAATAACGGTAAGGTCGGTGTACTGCAGATCCTTGGCCACGGCGGAAGCGGTGTCGGAGGTCAGGCCCCATCCGGAGGCAACTGCCGTCTGTCCAACGTAGCTGGAGTAACTACTGGCGATGGCGGGCAGGGCGATCTTGTTGACGGATGCGGAGAAGGATACGGATGGGGTCTTGATCAGGGAGATGTCGTTGCGCACAGTAAGGGAAACGTAGTTGGCATGCTGGATCCAGTTGGAGCTGGTGACGGTGTAGGTGAACTGGGGGCTAGTGCGGACCGTAGCTCCATAGTAGATAGTCACGGAGGAGGCACTGAAAAATACAACTTTACTTATTCATATCCTTTCGGGGTTAGTATAGTCAACTTACCCGCTGGTGCAGTGGGCAGCCGTCAACACCCAGGAGTTATCGATGATGGAACCACCGCACCACCAACTGCCCTTTGATCCGACGAAGCTGAGTCCCACCTGGTAGGGGAACTGATCCACCACAGCGTTCTTGCCATTGGTGATGCGACCATTAATGGAAGCCACCGAGGTCCTGTCACGAGGATGAATTGGAGCGATCTTGGGCAGGAGCCCGGCGGAGGCGGAGGCGATGGCCAGGAGCAAAACTACGAAGACCTTCATACTGATGGTTGATCGTTTAGTGAATGATTTCCTCTACTAATCAAGTCCATTATATACCCGTCCTGAAGGGTCTTATCTGGAAGATCGCTGGGCAAATCCCCACCCAAACGCTCCGATAGTATTTCTAGAAATTTAAAAGGGGAAAATCCACAGGCGTTTTTGACCACCTGACAATGAATAGATAATAACTATGCCTTTTCCTCCAAAATTGAATTATTCCTATTGGTTTTAAAGTAACCCAATTTTGTAGCTTAAGAGTTACAGAATGCATTAGGGTAACCAAAATAAAGCATTGTTGCTGTCCGTTCCGTTTGCCCAAAAATAGATTTATTTTTCATATATTGTAAGTATATCTAACAAAATATTGCCCAAGTTTCAAAATTAAATTAAAATTAGTCGTTTCAAATATGTATATGTTTTTCTGGAAACGATTTAATTTTTTTATAATCCTAGCTCCTAAAGATAATATCTAATCGATTTGAAAAGTTTTGTGAATATTATTTTTTCAAGCATATTTAAGTACAATCCCGAATTGAAATATTTTCGTAATATTTTAAACACATAAGCAATATGAGCTGATTATACCCGTTACTCGTAGAGTAAAAGGGTATATTGTATTCGTGCAAAAGTATGTAACAGCTAGAAGGAAGCGTTTCCGACCCTATAAAGTATATATATTCTTGATCAGGGTCACTAGCCGAGTCGATATAGCCATGTCCGTCTGTCCGTCTGTCTGTCCGTCTGTCTGTCCGTATGAACGCTGATATCTCGGAAACTATAAAAGCTAGAAGATTGGCATTTTGCATGCAGCGCAAGTTTGTTTCAAAAAGGTGCCACGCCCCCTTTAACGCCCACAATCGCTTATATACGATTTTAAAAATTTAAATATTTCGGAAAAGTAAAAATGCAGTTTTATTGTGTTTATCAATACCTATCGAAATGTAGAAGAAATTTTTCAAATCGGACCATTCGTTAAAAAGTTATGCGTGATCAAAGTTTCTATCTCCATCTCCCTCGCACTCCCTTTACCTGAGTAACGGGTATCTGATAGTCGGGGCACCCGACTATAGCGTTCTCTCATGTTTATACCCTTGCAGAGGGTATTATAATTTTGGTCAAAAGTGTGCAACGCAGTGAAGGAGACATCTCCGACCCTATAAAGTATATATATTCTTGATCAGGATCACCTCCTGAGTTGATATAGCCATGTCCGTCTGTCCGTCTGTCTGTCCGTCCGTCTGTCTGTTTCTACGCAAACTAGTCTCTCAGTTTTAAAGATATCGAACTGAAACTTTTCACACACCCTTCTTTCCCTTGCACGCAGTATATATGTCGGAACGGCCGGGATCGGCCGACTATATCCTATAGCTGTCATATAACTGATTGATCGGAAATGCCATAACTTTGGTGTTTGTAAAGTTAGAAAGCTGGGATTTTCTATGGGTTTTATATTTGGTTAATCAATCCGACCTAGCAAATTTCATAAGGATCGGCCGACTATATCCTATAGCTGCCATATAACTGATTGATCGGTAATGCCATAACTTTGGTGTTTGTTAAGTTATGAAGTTGGGATTTTTTATGGGTTTTATTTTTGGACAATCAATCCGACCTATCAAATTTCATAAGGATCGGCCGTCTATATCCTATAGCTGCCATATAACTGATTGATCGGAAATGCCATAACTTTGGTGTTTTAAAAGTTAGGAAGTTGGGATTTTTTATGAGTATTAAGAATGCATCATATGAATAATTTTGAAGAATATAATTTACAGAGTATTCTGCAAGGGTATATCAACTTCGGCTCCGCCCGAAGTTAGCTTTCCTTTCTTGTTTTTTATTGATTGTGTTTACTTATATGTACATTTATTACGGTATGTAGAACAAAATATGTAAAATAAAATATTTGAAACAAAGCCGAATTTTCCACAAACAAAATTTGTCAAAGCAATACTTAGATAATCACTGACTTAGCCATAATTTATAATCAGTTGAATTGTGAAGGGATTTGCCCATTAGTTAATATTGATAAGAACACAATAACCCTCTTCAATTGATAAGTATCGAATGAAGTGATCAGCATGGGGGTTTTTCTTGAAAGGTTCTATCCGTTGCATGCATAATCGCTAATACCTGGGTTGTGACAGAAAGAATGAGTATCCACTACGGTTTCTTATTATTATCCCTCTAACTCTTGCAAAATATGTGAAGCAGTGCAGCATGTGTGGACCAGTGCAATCAAGTGAGCAACACGACAGCTATACCTCATCACATTGAACAACGATGTCATCCTAATGAGGAGTCCAGTTAAACTTTCTCGCTTTCAATCAACAAGATTGCTCTGCCCGCCAACTCCAGTATATACTAAATAATGGTCTGACTGTTGCCTCCGGAAACTACTGGACCTGCGACACCGATTTGTCTAATAGTTTTCTTCTTAGGACGTCGACAAAAATGCCATTCCTTGTTGGATTACATTGCTTTTCTGCTTAGAGAAATTTTTATACCCTTGCAGAGGGTATTATAATTTTGGTCAAAAGTGTGCAACGTAGTGAAGGAGACATCTCCGATCCTATAAAGTATATATATTCTTGATCAGGATCACCTCCTGAGTTGATATAGCCATGTCCGTCTGTCCGTCTGTCTGTCCGTCTGTCTGTCCGTCTGTCTGTCCGTCTGTCTGTTTCTACGCAAACTAGTCTCTTAGTTTTAAAGCTATCGAGTTGAAACTTTGCCCACACCCTTCTTTCCTTTGCACGCAGTATATATGTCGGAACGGCCGGGATCGGCCGACTATATCCTATAGCTGCCATATAACTAATTGATCGGAAATGCCATAACTTTGGTGTTTGTAAAGTTACGAAGTTGGGATTTTCTATGGGTTTTATTTTTGGCCAATCAATCCGACCTACCAAATTTCATAAGGATCGGCCGACTATATCCTATAGCTGCCATATAACTGATTGATCGGAAATGCCATAACTTTGGTGTTTGTTAAGTAAGGAAGTTGGGATTTTCTATGGGTTTTATTTTTGGCCAATCAATTCGACCTACCAAACTTCATAAGGATCGGCCGACTATATCCTATAGCTGCCATATAACTGAACGATTGGAAATGCCATAACTTTGGTGTTTTTAAAGTTAGGAAGTTGGTATTTTTTATGAGTATTAAGAATGCATCATATGAAAAATTTTGGAGAATATAATGTACATAATATTCTGCAAGGGTATATCAACTTCGGCTCCGCCCAAAGTTAGCTTTCCTTTCTTGTTATACCCTTGCAGAGGGTATTATAATTTCAGTCAAAAGTTTGCAACGCAGTGAAGGAGACATTTGCGACCCTATAAAGTATATATATTCTTGATCAGCATCACCAGGAGAGTCGATCTAGCCATGTCCGTCTGTCCGTCTGTCCGTCCGTCTGTCCGTCCGTCTGTCCGTCTGTCCGTCTGTCCGTCTGTCCGTCCGTTTCTACGCAAACTAGTCCCTCAGTTTTAAAGCTATCTGCTTGAAACTTTCCCAAAAGTTGTCTTTCTATTGCAGGTAGTATATAAGTCGGAACGAGCCGGATCGGGCCACTATATCATATAGCTGCCATATAACTGAACGATCGGAAAGGCCATAACTTTGGTGTTTTTAAAGTTAGGAAGTTGGGATTTGCTATGGGTTTTATTTTTGGATAATCAATCCGACCTGCCAAATTTCATAAGGATCGGACGACTATATCCTATAGCCGCCATATAACTGATTGATCGGAAATGCCATAGCTTTGGTGTTTGTAAAGTTAGGAAGTTGGGATTTTCTATGGGTTTTATTTTTGGCCAATCAATCCGACCTACCAAATTTTATAAGGATCGGCCGACTATATCTTATATCTGCCATATAACTGAACGATTGGAAATAACATAACTTTGGTGTTTTTAAAGTTAGGAAGTTGGGACTTTTTATGAGTATTAAGAATGCATATGAATAATTTTGGAGAATATAATTTATAGAATATTCTGCAAGGGTATATCAACTTCGGCTCCGCCCGAAGTTAGCTTTCCTTTCTTGTTTATATATACGATTCATAACAAATAAAAGGCAATTGCAACCAAATGTGCTATTTATTTTCATATCTGGCAAAAGCTGACATTAAAAAAGAATAGTAAATTGAATCTGGAATTCGATGCATTACTGTAATTATGTATATACACTAACAGAAGAATAAAATAATTTAAACATATGTTTCTTTTATGGTTCATTATTAAAATCATCCCATTTTTAAAAAAAGTTCATTAGGCTTGGTATTTAAACTACCAAATTTACTTTTCTCATCGTAATTTCTTTAAATTGGTACAATTACATTATAATGATAAAGCATCCAAAACATTACTTGTGATAATATTCACTTTTATTCCCAAGCTGTATTAATTGTTGTTAAAAGAAATACAAACATTAAATATGTTCATTTAGTAATTTATTAACCCGAGGCTTATAAACCTGTACAATTTTTAGAAACAAACTTAGACGGAAACACCGGAGTTGGTCTTAATCCAATCCAAGTAGCTGGTGACGCGGGTGAATCCAGCTGGGGCTCCAATTTCGCAGCCATCTTTGGATCCGAAGGAGGTAACACCAATCAGAACGTTGTCCAAGGCCAATGGGCCGCCGGAATCTCCGCTGCAGATGGAGGTGCGGTTGACTCCGTCCACGCAAATCACTCGGCTGGTGACCACCAAGCTGCCATAGGCCTCCTGGCACACGGAGTTGGCGATGACCGTGAGATCGGCGAACTGCAGATCCCGGGCCACCGAAGAGGAGGTATCGGAGGTCAGGCCCCATCCGGAGGCGACGGCCACTTGTCCGACGAAGGTGGAGTAGCTGCTGGCGATGGCGGGCACTGCGATCTTGTTCACGGAGGACGAGAATGTGACGGACGGGGTCCTGATCAGGGAGATGTCGTTGCGGAGAGTGAGAGACACATAGCTGGCGTGCTGGATCCAGTTCGAGCTGGTGACGGTTTGGGTGAATTTCGGGCTGGTACGGACGGTGGCACCATAGTAGACGGTCACGATGGAGGCACTGGATAAGAAATACTCCTGTTAACCTAGATCCTCTGGGGAAAGTAAAGTGAACTTACCCGCTGGTGCAGTGGGCAGCCGTCAACACCCAGGAGTTATCGATGATGGAACCACCGCACCACCAACTGCCCTCTGAGCCGCTGAAGCTGAGTCCCACCTGGTAGGGGAACTGATCCGCCACAGCGTTCCTGCCATTGGTGATGCGACCTGTAATGGACGGGGTCGAAATCCTGTCACGAGGACGCACTGGCAGAGTTTGCGGCAGGAGTCCAGCGGACGCGGAGGCAAAAGCCAGAGCCAAGAATATGAAAACCTTCATGCTGATCGTTGATCTTTCAATGAATGATTTCCCCCACAAGCTTGTGCTTTTTATACCCGTCTTATTTGGTCTTATCTCCTGTAGCTGTTGGGAATGGTCTTTATTTATTATTGAAGTTGTAAATTTTGACATAGTCCAAGTATAAGGTAGGTGAAAATCCCTATCTGTTAAATTGATTAGTGATAAGACCTCTGTTAAAATTGTATCATGTTTAGGCAGTAATTATAGGTATCTAAGCAACAATTTAATGATTAAGAGATTGAATTAATAAGTCTCATTTAAAAAATGTTACATTGGAAGGGAATAATACAAAGTTTATGGTTTCAAACTTTTAAAGATTTTACACCGTTTTTTGTTAAATTGTAATTTAATATTAAATGATGAATAAATTACCTTAAGAAAAATTAAATATCAGTAATTTATGAGCAATACAATTTAGTTATCATGGGTTTTTTACAAAATGGCTTAATGAGAACACTGAAGTACCAAGGGATTAAGATCATAAATCGAAATCATTTGGGGATTCGCCCATTAACTCATGATAAGCCGATTAAGGTTGGTATATAACAACCTCAATGAGCAAGGGAAAGACATTCATTGAACGCACAACGATCACCATGAAGGTCTTTGCAGTTTTTGTTCTGGCTATTGCCTCGGTGTCCGCTGGTCTCCTGCCTCAGACTCTACCTGTGCATCCTCGTGACAGGATGTCGACCGCGTCCATCAGTGGTCGCATTACCAACGGAAAGAATGCTGTGGCCGATCAATTCCCCTACCAAGTTGGACTCAGCTTCCTTGGCTTGAAGGGTAGCTGGTGGTGCGGTGGTTCCATCATCGACAATTCCTGGGTGCTGACCGCTGCCCACTGCACTAGCGGGTAAGCTGTCCTCGTCTTAATGAATAGAATAGATTATTAAGGAGGATCCTTTTTCAGTGCCTCCTATGTGACCATCTACTATGGAGCTACGGTCCGAACTAGCCCCCAGTTCACCCAGAAAGTCGCCAGCTCCAACTGGATCCAGCATGCTGACTACTACTCGAAAACCGTTCGCAACGACATCTCCCTGATCAAGACCCCATCCGTATCCTTCTCCGCTTCCGTCAACAAGATCGCCCTGCCCGCCATCGCCAGTAGTTACTCCAGCTACGTTGGCCAGACCGCCGTTGCCTCCGGTTGGGGAATGACCGCCGATACGGAGACCTCGGTCACCAAGAACCTGCAGTTCGCCGACCTGACCGTTATTGACAACTCCGTGTGCCAGAAGACATTCGGAAGTTTGGTGGTCACCAGCAGGGTCATCTGCGTCGCCACCACCAATGCCATCTCCACCTGCCAGGGCGACTCTGGTGGTCCCTTGGCGTTGGATGGTACCCTCATTGGTATTACCTCTTTTGGAGCGGAGGATGGATGCGAGATTGGTGCCCCAGCTGCCTTCACCCGCGTAACCAGCTACTTGGACTGGATCCAGACCAACTCTGGCATCTCTGCTTAAAGTTTTCCGTAGGAACTTCTGCATTCGGATGAGAGATAATGAAAAGTTTTAATAAAATATCAGATTATTCATAATTTGGTTTAACTTAATGTTTTAATAGCTTTCCAAGGATTTGGTATTTATACCCGTTACTCGTAGAGTAAAAGGGTATATTGTATTCGTGCAAAAGTATGTAACAGCTAGAAGGAAGCGTTTCCGACCCTATAAAGTATATATATTCTTGATCAGGGTCACTAGCCGAGTCGATATAGCCATGTCTGTCCGTCTGTCCGTCTGTCTGTCTGTCTGTCCGTATGAACGCTGAGATCTCGGAAACTATGAAAGCTAGAAGATTGACATTTTGCATGCAGATTCTAGGAGTTCCTACGCAGCGCAAGTTTGTTTCAAAAAGGTGCCACGCAACCTTTAACGCCCACAATCGCTAATATACGATTTTAAAAATTTAAATAATTCGGAAAAGTAAAAATGCAGTTTTATTGTGTTTATCAATACCTATCGAAATGTAGAAGAAATTTTTCAAATCGGACCATTCGTTAAAATGTTATGAGTGATCAAAGTTTCTATCTCCATCTCCCTCGCACTCCCTTTACCTGAGTAACGGGTATCTGATAGTCGGGGCACCCGACTATAGCGTTCTCTCATGTTTTAATCTGACATTATTAAACATTTGGAGGACATAATTTTTTGAATTTTTTAATGGTTCGTGTGCCTGTTTGGAGTTAAAGTCGTCTTCATATATTCTCTTTTTATACTCTTGCAGACGGTATAAAAATTTTGGTCAAATGTGTGCAACGCAGTGAAGGGAAAATCTCCGACCCTATAAAGTATATATAATATATTCTTGATCAGGATCGCGTCCTGAGTTGATATAAGCATGTCCGTCTGTCTGTTTCTACGCGAACTAGTCTCTCAGTTTTAAAAATATCGAATTGAAACTTTGCACACACCTTCCTTTGCACGCAGTATATAAGTCGGAACGGCCGGGATCGGCCGATTATATCATATAGCCGCCCTATGACTGATTGATCGGAAATGCCATAACTTTGGTGTTTGTGGGTTTATTTTTGGCCAATCAATTCGACCTATAAAATTTCATAAGGATCGGCCGACTATATCCAATAGCTGCCATATAACTGAACGATCGGAAATGCCATAACTTTGGTGTTTTTAAGTTAGGATGTTGGGATTTCTTATGAGTATTAAGAATGCATCATATGAATAATTTTGGAGAATATAATTTACAGAATATTCTGAAAGCGTATATCAACTTCGGATCCGCCCGAAGTTAGCATTCCTTTCTTGTTAATTGATGGATCTGAAATGCTGCTAAGGGACGGAAGCAATTGTCTAGACCAAGACCTTTATACTGATCAGGTTAGGTAAATGGAATTAAAACAAGAGAGAACGCTATAGTCGGGTGCCCCGACTATCAGATACCCGTTACTCAGGTAAAGGAAGTGCGAGGGAGATGGAGATAGAAACTTTGATCACGCATAACTTTTTAACGAATGGTCCGATTTGAAAAATTTCTTCTACATTTCGATAGGTATTGATAAACACAATAAAACTGCATTTTTACTTTTCCGAAATATTAAAATTTTTAAAATCGTATATAAGCGATTGTGGGCGTTAAAGGGGGCGTGGCACCTTTTTGAAACAAACTTGCGCTGCGTAGGAACTCCTAGAACTGCATGCAAAATGCCAATCTTCTAGCTTTTATAGTTTCCGAGATCTCAGCGTTCATACGGACAGACAGACAGACAGACGGACAGACATGGCTATATCGACTCGGCTAGTGACCCTGATCAAGAATATATATACTTTATAGGGTCGGAAACGCTTCCTTCTAGCTGTTACATACTTTTGCACGAATACAATATACCCTTTTACTCTACGAGTAACGGGTATAACAAACTTAGTTTCACTATAAGCTTCTGGGGTGTCTTATAAGTTATATAGAATTTCAGTTTTGAACTAAATAAACTTATTTAAACAATCAGTTGAATTAACTTGTTGTCAAATAAGTTAAAAACTTAAGTTAAATTATTACTTAAATAAGTTATGTAAATAAGTTAGTACTTATTTTACCCTTATTTGATTATGAAGCTATGGTCATCTTTAATCACATAAAAAAAACACTTATAATGTATTATCTTAAAACCAATAAGCTTGGGAACGCTATTAATGACGTTTTCATATGTTGAAATATAAGCACATATATATTTAAGGACCCTTGGATTATTAAAACCAAACAGATTATTTGGTCACCTAAGCTGAAGATGAAGGCGACTTTAACTCCAAACATCCAGACGAACACAAAACGATATATATTCTGTTGCTTTGCAATCAAGAATTATGTCTTCAAAATGTTTAATTTGTAAGATTACAAATCAATTCCTCGGCATGCTTTTAAAACCATAAGTTAAGCAAAAATATGAATAATCTGATATTTTATTAAAACTTTTCTTTATCTCTCATCCGAACATTAAGCAGAGATGCCAGAGTTGGTCTGGATCCAATCCAAGTAGCTGGTGACCCGGGTGAAGGCAGCTGGGGCACCGATCTCGCACCCATCCTTCGCTCCAAAAGAGGTAATACCAATGAGAGTACCATCCAACGCCAAGGGACCACCAGAATCGCCCTGGCAGGTGGAGATGGCATTGGTGGTGGCGACGCAGATAACCCTGCTGGTGACCACCAAACTTCCGAATGTCTTCTGGCACACGGAGTTGTCAATAACGGTCAGGTCGGCGAACTGCAGGTTCTTGGTGACCGAGGTCTCCGTATCGGCGGTCATTCCCCAACCGGAGGCAACTGCGGTCTGGCCAACGTAGCTGGAGTAACTACTGGCGATGGCGGGCAGGGCGATCTTGTTGACGGATGCGGAGAAGGATACGGATGGGGTCTTGATCAGGGAGATGTCGTTGCGGACAGTAAGGGAAACGTAGTTGGCATGCTGGATCCAGTTGGAGCTGGTGACGGTGTAGGTGAACTGGGGGCTGGTTCTGACCGTGGCTCCATAGTAGATGGTCACGGAGGAGGCACTGAAAGATACAACACTTCTTATCCATATCCTTAGGGGCTTAGTATAGTCAACTTACCCGTTGGTGCAGTGAGCTGCCGTCAATACCCAGGAGTTATCGATGATGGAACCACCGCACCACCAACTGCCCTTTGATCCGACGAAGCTGAGTCCCACCTGGTAGGGGAACTGATCCACCACAGCGTTCTTGCCATTGGTGATGCGACCATTAATGGAAGCCACCGAGGTCCTGTCACGAGGATGAACCGGAGCGATCTTGGGCAGGAGCCCGGCGGAGGCGGAGGCGATGGCCAGGAGCAAGACTACGAAGACCTTCATACTGATGGTTGATCGTTTAATGAATGATTTCCTATACTAAACGAGTCCGTTATATACCCGTCCTGAAGGGTCTTATCTGGAAGATCGCTGGGCAAATCCCCACCCAAACACTCCGATAGTATTTCTACAAATGTTAAAGGGGAAAATCTTAAGGCTTTTATGACCACCTTAGAATTAATAGATAATACCTACGCTATTAAATTGACTAAATTTGGTAGTTTAATACTTTTAGAATACATTATGGTAACTTATTACGTTGTTAAGGCTTACAAATCAATGTAAGTCATTAACATAAATGTTCTTCAACTCCAAAATAAAGCATTGTTGATTAATTTATTCAAATTCTTTATGATGGATATAAGTTATATAGATGTAAGTAAGCTAAAACTATTGTTAAACACTCGATTTATATTTTACCAATTTTTAGGGAGTGATTTCTTTACAATAAGTTTATTAGAGGGACAACTTTAGTTTGCATAAAATATTGATTTCTTTAGCATAAATTGTAAGTATATCTAACAAAAAATTGCCAAAGTTTCAAAATGAAATTCAAATTAGTCGTTGCAAATGCGTTTCTTTGGAAACGACTTAATTTTTTGCGGGATCCTTAAGATAATAATGAAACGATCTTAAAAGTTTTGTGAATATTTTTTTCAAGTATATTCAAGTACAATCCAGAATTGAAATATTGTAAACACATTAGCAACAATTATTTTATCTTATTTTTTATTGATTGTGTTTATTTATATGAATATAATGGTATGTAGAACAAAATATATCAAATTAACTATTTTTGAAAATAAAGCCTAAATTTCCACAAAAAAAATTTCTCGAAGCAATACATAATTTATAATCGTTAGCCATAATTTATAATCAGTTAAATTGTGTAGGGATTTGCCCATTAGTTAATATTGATAAGAACACAATAACCCACTTCAATTGATAAGTATCGAACGAATTGATCAGCATGGGGGTTTTTCTTGAATGGTTCTATCCGTTGCATCCATAATCGCTAATACCTGGGTTGTGGCAGTGGGAAGTGAGTATCCACTACGGTTTACCATCCTTCTAATTTTTCCGAAATATGTGGACCCGTGCCACACCGTTACTACCTCGAATTGTAGCACATTGAGCAACGATATTTTCCTAATGACAATTCCAGTTAAACACTCTCGTTTTCCATCAACAGGATTGCTCTGCCCGCCAACTCCAGTATATAATCAATTTACTCCGGACAGAACGTTGCCACCGGATGGTACTGGACCTGCGATATCGATTGTACTAATTGATTTCTTCTTAGAACCTCGACAAAATAGTCATACCTGGATTGGTTTTTCTGCTTAGAAAACTTTTTGTATATATACGATTCATTACAAATAAAAGGCAATTGAAAACAAATGTGCTATTGATACTAAAAAAGAATATTCAAATGGACCTGGAATTCTATGCATTACTGTAATTATGTACATGTAGTAACAGAAGAATAAAATAATTTTTAAACAAATATATGTTTCGTTAATAAGGTCATCCCATTTTTAAGAAATCTTAATTAGGTTTGGTATTTAAACTACCAAATTTCGTCTCACGCCCAACATTCTGTCCCCTTTTCTCAACGAAACTTCTTAAAAACTTTAAATTTTAATTTGTTTTCTAACATACATACATGCTTTAAGCTTTTCTTGACTGATGATTATGTTTACCTATATATACGACTATGCATATGTTAATTTTTAGCTGTATTTACAGTTCTTAAAAGAAATGCAAACATAACATTTTTTACTTTGGAAGTATAAAAACTAGAGTTTATTGGTAAAAAAAAAGTTTGATTTTTAAGATTTTAGAGCGTTTTTTGGAAAATTTGAATTTAATTTAAGTAATGAATAAAATACCTTATAAGTTAATCAGCAACTTATGGCAGCAATACAATTTAGTTATCACGGGTTTTTTACAAAATGGCTTAAAGAAAACACTTAAGTACGAATAGATTAAGATCATAAATAAAAATCTTAATAATCGATTTGGGGTTCACCCTTTAGGTCATGATAAGCCGATTCAGGGTGGTATATAATAACCTAAATGAGCAAGGGAAAGACATTCATTCACAGTACAACGATCACCATGAATGTCTTTGCAGTTTTGGTTCTGGCTATTGCCTCGGCGTCCGCTGGTCTCCTGCCTCAGACTCTACCTGTGCATCCTCGTGACAGGATGTCGACCGCGTCCATCAGTGGTCGCATTACCAACGGAAAGAATGCTGTGGCCGATCAATTCCCCTACCAAGTTGGACTCAGCTTCCTGGGCTTGAAGGGTAGCTGGTGGTGCGGTGGTTCCATCATCGACAATTCCTGGGTGCTGACCGCTGCCCACTGCACTAGCGGGTAAGCTGTCCTCGTCTTAATGAATAGAATACCTTATTAAGGAGTATCCATTTTTAGTGCCTCCTATGTGACCATCTACTATGGAGCGACCGTCCGAACTAGCCCCCAGTTCACCCAGAAAGTCGCCAGCTCCAACTGGATACAGCATGCTGACTACTACTCGAAAACCGTTCGCAACGACATCTCCCTGATCAAGACCCCATCCGTATCCTTCTCCGCTTCCGTCAACAAGATCGCCCTGCCCGCCATCGCCAGTAGTTACTCCAGCTACGTTGGCCAGACCGCCGTTGCCTCCGGTTGGGGAATGACCGCCGATACGGAGACCTCGGTCACCAAGAACCTGCAGTTCGCCGACCTGACCGTTATTGACAACTCCGTGTGCCAGAAGACATTCGGAAGTTTGGTGGTCACCAGCAGGGTCATCTGCGTCGCCACCACCAATGCCATCTCCACCTGCCAGGGCGATTCTGGTGGTCCCTTGGCGTTGGATGGTACTCTCATTGGTATTACCTCTTTTGGAGCGAAGGATGGGTGCGAGATCGGTGCCCCAGCTGCCTTCACCCGGGTCACCAGCTACTTGGACTGGATCCAGACCAACTCTGGCATCTCTGCTTAAAGTTTTTCCTAGGAACTTCTGCATTCGGATGAGCGTTAAAGAAAAGTTTTAATAAAATATCAGATTATTCAAAATTTTGTTTATCTTAATGTTTTAATAGCATGCCGAGGAATTGGTATTTTTAATCTGACAATATTGAGCATTTGAAGGACATAGTTTTTTAATTGTTGATTGAAATTCAACAGAATCTTTATTGTTTTGTGTTCGTATGCCTGTTTGGAGTAAAAGTCGTCTATATCTACTTAAATTTGTTATACCCTTGTAGAGGGTATTATTATTTTGGTCAGAAGTTTGTAACGCAGTGAAGGAGACGTTTCCGACCCTATAAAGTATATATATTCTTGATCAGGATCAATAGGGGAGTCGATATAGCCATGTCCGTCTGTCCGTCTGTCCGTCTGTCCGTCTGTTTCAATACCGTTTGCGAGCTCAGTTTAAAAGCTAGCGATCTGAAACTTTCACAGTCGTCCTAAAACAAGTGTACGCAGATCAAGTTTGAAAACCGCCCCGATCGGATGTTTATATCCTATATCTCCCATAGGAACAATCGGATATAACTTGCAAGAATGGAAGATATTTCGCGCAGTGTAGAAGCTATTGACATAAATCTTTCCAAATCTTATTTTTTTATGCGTACCTTGATCAGAGTAAAAGCGCGTGACGATCGGACGTCTATATCCTATAGCTCCCATAGGAACAAAAGTGTAAAATCGGTTAAAATTTAATGATTTTTAGGATATTTCACGCAGTATACAAGCTATTGACATGAATCTTTCCAAATCCTATTTTTTTATGCATACATTGATCAAGGTGAAAGCGCGTGCCGATCGGACGTCTATATCCTATAGCTCCCATAGGAACAATAGGGTGAAATCGGTCCAAATTTGATGATTATCAGAATATTTCGCGCAGTGTGTAAGCTACTAACATAAAATTTTCCAATTCTTATTTATTTACGCATATCTTGATTAGGGTAAAAGCGCTTGCCGCTCGGAAGTCTATATCTTAAAGGAGATAAGAAAAATTGTTAAAGGCTGCGAAAGCATCCCTTTTTTTCTATTTGTATATGACATTTTTGCAGTATAAAAGCAATTGACTTGAAACGATGCAAATCTAGTTTACTTATGTATACCTTATTCCTTTCGCTACTTTTTCACTTTTAGCAATTTCGTCAAAGTCTGCAAGGGTATTAAAACTTCGGCTTGCCGAAGTTAGCTTCCGTCCTCGTTTTTTTTATATTTTAGTGCGTTAGATGGTCGAATAATTGTCACTAAAGCAGAATGATCCTTTTGGTTTTCTAACACAAATTTGGTCAATAAGTTATAATCCAAGGGTCTTTAAATAGATATGTACTGAAATATGTTTTTTTTTATTTTTAATAACGCTGTTTTGTTTTTGCAATCAACGTGGTTCGGGTTAGCACATAATCGCTGATACTGATTAGTTTTTCTATCAGTCAATTAACGGCTATACAAATCGTAATTATACTTTTGGAAATTCCCTGAAAATATAGTAGATTATTTTACCGGAACTTGTCGTATAATCTTTTAGAAAGCTTAAGTCCGTATCAATAAAAATCTGGATTTTGTTATCAACTTATGTTTGTTTGAGTTGGGAATTTCAAGTTCCAGCGGATATTTTTATGTGGGCGATACCCGCAATTACTGTTATCTTAACTTGGGGATTTCCATATGGATTTAGATTAATAAAAATATTTTATATTAATTGTGCGGTTCACTTTCAAAACGCCTCTGTGTGTATTAAAATTTCTTTTAATTTTTAACAAGTTAACTTGAAACTACCACAGCCGTAGGCTAAAAACAAGATTATCTTGGATTTTTCAATATCGAACAATGTGTAGTACGCTTTTTTTACCATGTTCAAACTTTATTTTAAATTGTTGCTGAAAAACTGTATTGCCTGAACTGATATTCTTTTGGCTTCTCGATTTGCTACAGGAAATGGCCGCCGAGTACTTCAGTATTGTTTGACTTCCATCCAATGACGGCCGCATCATCGAACTTTTGTTTGCTTTTTGTTCAATTTTTATTAGATACCATTTGTTTGCGTGCCATGACTGTTTTGCTACTTGAGCCGAACCTTCGGGTTCGAGCTCTGTTTTTATGTTTATGCGGAAATCTGCAGAAATTGTGTCAATATCAATAAAATTAGATTAGTATCGACGAGGACGAGGACGACATTGGCGATGGCGGTGGCGGCAACAAACAAGCAGCCGAAGTGTGGCAGGCAACAAATAAAGTCCCTTCCTTTCACTGCCGCTTCCTTCCTTAAGCCAATTCCATGTGTTGTGGGCTGCTTCCGTTTTCAGGCTCACTTCCTGTGCGTCTTGTGGGTGGATGTGTATGTGACAACTGTTTAAATGCCTTGAAATTGTTGCAATTTTGATTCATCCCAATTGGGTAAAGTTTTGGCCGGGCCAAAAGCGTAGGGCCCCACTTAATCTCAGTTAATTTTCTTAATGGAAAAGTTTTTCTCAGTTCTTTTCATTCATTCGCTCCCTTTTGACTAGGCTCAAAAATTGCTTTTCACTTAATTCTCCTACGGGGGAACTGGTGGATTTTTATGTGGCGACCCAATTTTCATAATGCGCAAATTAGAAAAGTTTTTCGCTTGAAGTTTACCCTGCCATTTTCTCGCATTGAATTTCCACTCCGCTTAAAGCTGTTTTCCCCTATTGATTTCGCATTCACAACATTTTCGAGGCATTATCGCAGGGCTTTTCATTTTCCCACACCCCCAAAACAATAAACAACATGAACAATTGTGTCTCCATTTCTCATCTGGTGGCGTAATCTTTTATATCAACACTGCCGCGGCGCTCCAACACTTTCCACTCGATGTCCAACTAAGAAAAACATTTGCACAAGGATCACAGCGAAAATGGGGAAAAGCGGGAAAAGTGGGAAAACCCGGAAAAGTCAGGGAGGGGAAAGAGGTCTTCACTCCTCGCCGACTGAATCACGTGACGAATGATTGAGTGCACTTCTGTGTGCGCTTTTTCACTTAAAATGTGCGATTTCAATCACTAAAAGCAAAGGTACACATCGGAAAATCGAATCAGCCATGGCTGATGGAGTTCCTGGAGTGGTTACCGCACTGGTTCCTTGTCCTTTTTTTGCCACTCGAAGGAGGACCATTAACCGCAAGGTGGGCAAAAACAAAAGACATTCGCAGTGCATTTAAAAGCGGAAGCGGAAGTTGGCAATAAAAACGCTGAAACAAGTTATGTGCAAAATGTCCGGGACACGTGATGGACTTTTCCGTACCAAAAAACAGAAAAAAAAGAAAGAGAACAATGAGGAAGAATGCCCGGAGAGTTGGGGACCTGAGCTAAACATTCCGCACATCAAAAACGACGCGCCACTTAACAAATCCCAAGTTGTCGTTGCGTGCCACGTGACTGGCATACAAAGCGGTTGCAAAGGACTCTGGCAGGACCCGAAAACAATAGCTCTGCTTTGGTCCGCTGGAATGTTTGGCCCGCTCGTTACTTTATGGCCAGCCGGCAAAACGCTTTCACGCACGCCCACCTCTGCCTCTGCCCCTGCCCCATGCCACGCCCCCCTCGTCCATCTGGCGACCTGCCGCGCTTAATTTCCGCTTGTAATGGACGCACGATAAATCCTGGCGAGCGTTTCCGAATCTACAGGACTTTTCCTCGCGCGGCACGCAATCGAAATATATGTATGTATAGTTTTAAGATTTTCTTCGCTTTTGGACTGGCCGTTTGTTCCGTTTGCTAAAAAGATTGTTATTAAATTCCTGATCTTGAATTTTGGGCAGAATGAGTTTATAATTTTCTATAACCTTTTTCAAATGTCCGTTACTTAAAGATTGTTATTTGTGAAAATTTTACATTCTTTTTTTCATAGATAAATTATTGAAAATATTTGTTTTTATACCCTTGCAGAGGGTATTATAATTTTGGTCAAAAGTGTGCAACGCAGTGAAGGAGACATCTCCGACCCTATAAAGTATATATATTCTTGATCAGGATCACCTCCTGAGTTGATATAGCCATGTCCGTCTGTCCGTCTGTCCGTCTGTCTGTCCGTCTGTCTGTCCGTCTGTCTGTCCGTCTGTCTGTCCGTCTGTCTGTTTCTACGCGAACTAGTCTCTCAGTTTTAAAGATATCGAATTGAAACTTTGCACACACCCTTCTTTCCTTTGCACGCAGTATATAAGTCGGAACGGCCGGGATCGGCCGACTATATCCTATAGCTGCCATATAACTGATTGATCGGAAATGCCATAACTCTGCTGTTTGTTAAGTTAGGAAGTTGGGACTCTCTATGGGTATTATATTTGGCCAATCAATCCGACATACCAAATTTCATAAGGATCGGCCGACTATATCCTATAGCTGCTATATAACTGATTGATCGGAAATGCCATAACTTTGGTGTTTGTAAAGTTGGGAAGTTGGGATTTTCTATGGGTTTTATATTTGGCCAATTAATCCGACCTACCAAATTTCATAAGGATCGGCCGACTATATCTTATAGCTGCCATATAACTGATTGATCGGAAATGCCATAACTTTGGTGTTTGTTAAGTTAGGAAGTTGGGATTTTCTATGGGTTTTATTTTTGCCCAATCAATCCGACATATTAAATTTCATAAGGATCGGCCGACTATATTCTATAGCTGCCATATACATAACTGAATGATTGGAAATGCCATAACTTTGGTGTTTTTAAAGTTAGGAAGTTGGGATTTTTAATGAGTATTAAGAATGCATCATATGAATAATTTTGGAGAATATAATTTACAGAGTATTCTGCAAGGGTATATCAACTTCGGCTCCGCCCGAAGTTAGCTTTCCTTTCTTGTTTTTTGTTTTAAATAAATTTATTTAAAAAAGATTAAATTAAGTATTTTAAAAATTTTGTTAATATTTTACCGTAATAACAACAAAATAGTAATACAATAGTGATGTCTTTAAAGTGCCGAAAGCAGACATTTTCATTTTTTAAACAAATTAAATGTAATTCTTAGCCATTTTAATAATATTTTTATTGCCTTCTTTGTTATTCCACTTATCTTATTTTCCAATATCCAAGAAATTTAATTTGAGCAAGAATTTACTTTGACTTTCATTACATAAATTTCTTAGTCTGCTACTTTCTCCTGACTCTGTCCCTCAGTTCTTTTGGCAATAATTTCAAATCGAAAATCCTTTTAACTTGCAACCGCAATGTGCCAATTGCCAGGGCCATTTTTATTGTCGCCCGTCGTTAGTCAAAGGCTAAAGTCGGTAGCAACTATTGCCGTCGCCACATCCCTGTCTCGTTGGGCAGGACCCTCCCATCCTTCGGGCCCCCCTCAGTTCACCTGAGTTAGCCCACCTGTGCGTGTCGCCTAAGCCGGCGATAAGGCGAGCACATTTGGAAGGACGAACCCCTTCGATCCGGGAATATCCCGCTTTCGCTACGTGCCTTTCTTTGGGGCTGCGATAAATTGCTATTGGTTTGCAGTTGGGCCAAAAGGTAAAGCTGCTAATTTATTAGCCAAAGCGACAAACAAAGCATAAATAAGCGCGGTGGTGGAGTATCTGTAGTTACGCCTGTAACCATCCGTCTGACCTTAAACATTCGATTCGCTTTTGGCCATTTCGGCTTTAATGTGTGTGAAAGTGGCATATAAATTTCAATGGGCGTAAGAATGCGCTAAGCTTTTGGCTTTGCAGTGTGTGTGAGCCAAACAATGGGAAAGCGACAACGACAACGCATATTCAATAATGTCGCTTTCAACTTTTATGCTTGCAAAATGCAAAAATCTGCCGTTCGGGGAGTTGAAAAGGGGGACAGATAGTGAGTTGGCTAAACACATTCATGCATTTTACAATGTTGCCAAAGCCCCTCGGACTAAAGTTCTTGGCTGTGAACAATAGAAAAACGAATTAAACAAAAAAGCCAGGCCAACGGCAGTATTCACATAAGTATATGTTTCTTTGTGCACTTGGAAAAATATATAGAAAATAAAATAAGCTTGAAGTCAAAGTGTAAATTATTTGATTTTAATGTTTTAAATCTTAAAGGCAAATTGAAATATTTTACCATAAAAACAATGATTTAGTTAACTAAATAAAACAAGCATACGCAAATTTGACTGTTTTTCCAATATTTGGCTCAGACAAAATTTGCCAAGTTGAGTTTTAATCTTTTTCTTTAGGAGAAACATTTCTTCAAGTGTACAGTACGCCAAATCTGACTGTATATGTGTTTTACAACAATAAGCAGAAAGGCAGCAGCTGCAACAATGGCGAACAGCAAAAATGAATGCGAGTGCGAATCCAAGAGAAAGCGGAGCAGGCACTGCAAAACCCTCTACTGTTGCTTTTACTGGCTTTTGTTTGCCCCACCACCTCCGACCTGCCACGCCTCCTCCTCCGCGCAACGCCCCCTTGGCACCGCTCCCCCCTCGCCTTTGTTGCAGCTGCATTAGCAGCCATAGTGCATTAATGTTGCACGCTGAGCATGTGTGTATGACTCTAGATGGGTTGGCTTTACTTGGCTTGCGTCTCGCAAATAAATGTCGGGCATGCTAAACAGGATTTGATCAGACTTCGATATCTGATGTGCATGAGTGCTAGCCAAATGTGGAATCAATGGCAGTCACTTGGGCATAGGAACTTCGAAATATATGTAAACTGGGATTTCCCAAGCGAAAGTTTAATTTAAAATGTTATATTGCTTTGAATAAATCTATAAAAGATATCTACCAATAAACTTTAAAACCAATCTATTAAACTTTCTTGCAGGATATTTATAGTATTTATCCATTTAGAGGGTTACACATTTTTTGACCTAAAGTTTCATCTTATAAAATATAGTTACCCAAAAGGCTTATGTCATTGTCAATCTTTTATCGTCAAATATTTATCAATAAATGTTTGTTCAACACCGTTATATACATTTTATAAAACCATTAACTGAATTAATTAATTAACAAACAAAAAACAATCGGGAGTTAAATTTACCGTATACAAAGCCTCGTTTAAATGTTAACCAAGTAAACAAAATAAAGTGAAATTTTTTAAAAACTGCAGTTGAAAACCAGGAATTTTTAAAGTGCACTTCATAGGTAAGTCTAACGTTATCTTTGACTTTATTTTAATACTCATAATTTAAGGCCTTAAATATTATAAACATGTTTTTACCATACAGTGCAAAACAGGGTACTGCATCTTTCGGACTTTACTTCCATTGCTCCCACTTTATGTCCTTTGTTTTATTTTCCACTTTTTGCACTTTTTCGTGCCTTTGCCTCAGCAGCACTTATAGTTGATCGAACTGTGCCGGCAAAAAGTGTGATTTGGAAAAGTTTCAAGTGGCAGGGCAGCCGTCACGATTCCGGCAACTGCTGATTCCCCTCCCGCAGCACTTGAAATATGTAGAATCCTGGTCAATAGCATGCAATTTGGGTTAGGCAAACAGGCAAACAAGGGGTGGGGGCGGTCGGGTGTGGCCAAACATTATGGCATAATCAGCAGGGAACTCATACACGGGCAGCCCTACTACGAGGACCACGTCCGCGTCTGCTGCATTCAATTGGCCGACGGCACTGGGCGAACTCTGTCTGCCAATTGGCCAAAAATGCCACAAAAACATATTTGGCAACGCAGCAACGTCAGCAGCAGGACAAACTGCTCCTGGGTCAATGTTGATGTTGATTTTGGACATGAGAGCCAGCTGCAGCAGCAGCAGCAACAGCAATTCGAGTTGGGCCATAAAATCAGGCAGTCAATGAGCCAAATAGCCGAAATGGCTGTTATTGTTATTGCCGCAGCCCGGCAAATTAATGAGGTGTCCTGTTCAACCATCAACTCCATGCATAATCGAACTAGGACTCCAGGCTGCAGTTTTGTAATTGAGCCAGTCAGTTGCGGGCGGGGCAGGATTTTCCCCAATGCGTTGTAATTTGCAGAGATTGTTCACCGACTCTAGCTAGGCAACGCTTTAAATTGCAGAACAAAATTACTTTATGGCCTTAGTTTTCTGAAAAGTTAAATAATAATATTTCACGGTGAGTTTTGTGTTGCTTCGGCTCGAATTTCTTATCGCTATTTTTATACCCGTTACTCGTAGAGTAAAAGGGTATATTGTATTCGTGCAAAAGTATGTAACAGGTAGAAGGAAGCGTTTCCGACCCTATAAAGTATATATATTCTTGATTAGGGTCACTAGCCGAGTCGATATAGCTATGTCCGTCTGTCCGTCTGTCCGTCTGTCCGTCTGTCTGTCCGTCTGTCCGTCTGTCTGTCCGTCTGTCTGTCTGTCTGTCCGTATGAACGCTGAGATCTCGGAAACTATAAAAGCTAGAAGATTGACATTTTGCATGCAGATTCTAGGAGTTCCTACGCAGCGCAAGTTTGTTTCAAAAAGGTGTCACGCCCCCTTTAACGTCCACAATCGCTTATATACGATTTTAAAAATTTTAATATTTCGGAAAAGTAAAAATGCAGTTTTATTGTGTTTATCAATACCTATCGAAATGTAGAAGAAATTTTTCAAATCGGACCATTCGTTAAAAAGTTATGCGTGATCAAAGTTTCTATCTCCATCTCCCTCGCACTCCCTTTACCTGAGTAACGGGTATCTGATAGTCGGGGCACCCGACTATAGCGTTCTCTCTTGTTAAAGATTATTATTCATATTCTTCTCTTAGCCAGGGTTACTAACTTTATTTAATAGGAAGGTTACTAAAAACATAAAACTGCCTTTGGATTTGTTAGGAATTTAAAGAAATTGTTTGTTTATCATAATAAAGCTACTTGCCCACTCACTTTTTTTAAGATCTAGGAAAAATAACGTTGCCGTAAAACTGCTGGCAGGCACTTTAATCCCGACATCGCATTATGTTTAGCATTTCTTGTAGTCCTTTTTCATTCCCGACAGTCCCCAGACAATATTTGCATGAAAACTGTTACTGACACTTAAACATATTCCTGCCAAAAAAAAAGAGGCTGAGAAAGAGGAAAACTTTTCTGTCGTTGATAGCGCTTTTTTTATTGTTTCTGTAATTTTTCGTTGGCTGGCATTGTTGGAGTTTTAATGACGAGCAGGACTGGCAATTGTCGCCTTAATGTCAGCCAAGGCGACAACGTAGACACAGGATGTACCAAGCTCTTAGCTCGCTCTGTCCTCCACTTTTTTTAAGTTTACACTTTTATGCGAATCTCTGGGTCCGACTGCCAAAGTTACTTAAAATGCAAGCCTAACAAGTTTTGGACAGGAGTGTGCAAATGGTTTTTTTCCGAGCTCGCTGCAGGCAAAGAAAACCATTTGAGTGGTAATCCCAGAAAAGTTCGTTTACCTCGGAGTCATAAAGCACCTATAGCACATACGCCATGTGTTACGCTTTCCAGGACAAAAAAAAAAACTTTCAAGACATTGGCAAACACTCTCACTCTCAGCGGCGTCACAAATATTTTTAATTAGCCTAATGAAAAAGTTCAGACGAAAAGAAAATCTCCTTTTATACTTTTATTATAATATCTTCTGTGGGTTCGGTGGCTCCATAACAAAAGACAACCCGCTGACAAATGAAGAAAACGCAGTGCAAATAAGCAAAGAAATAATTTTTCCCATTGTGCAGCTGAAGTTGCAGGGGAAAAGCCGGTTTCACAAACTGTAGAACAAAGAAATGTGACTAATGAAAAGCGTTGTAAAAGAGAGCAAAAATCCAGGGTAAATATAGGAACGTTGCCATACAGCAATTGGTTGATGAAAGAACTTATTTTCTTTGCAGCCCGCCTTATTTGCCATTGAGAATGTTCAATTAAAAAACTTTTTACATGCAAAGCGGACAGACAAATGCTTAAGCCACTTACAAATCATAAGCTCCCCCTCCAAAACAGTATTCACTGCTATATATAATTGATTTTCGACGTCTTCTGTTTGTTGTTCCACTCGACCACTTTGGCTTATTAAATATTTAAGAGGCAAATTGTCAAAAACATCCAACTGAATGACAGGCCATCCCCGCAGATTTCATCCCCCCCCTCCCCGATTCCCCTGCCTGTTTGTTTGTGCCACAATAATTGACAAATAAAGTGAAAAAGCAGGGAAAAGTTATCCAAGTCTTTTCCTCATGAATACTTGAGGCTGTCTATGGGGCGGGGAATGGTGACAAGTTCTTTGGCAATTTTCGAATTATTTAAATGGCAGCCATTTCTTTTTTATTTGGCCTTTACTTTTATTTCATTTGCGCACGCCTTCGTGTGTAGCGATGCCGATAATTGCAACAAAGGAAAAGTTTCCACCAGAAAAGTAGACAACACTTTGACAACGAACACGAGAGAATGTGGGATGGCAAAATGGAGGAAAATCGCCGCTGGCCAGAAAGTTTTCCAGTGAAAAGATTTGCCACAACTGAAGCAGGAAAAAAAAATGTGTTCGGGATAGCTGCAATTAAAAAAGGGATTACGATCCAAGCCAGACTTTCGATTTGTTCCTTTCTTTCCCCGCCGCTGGTTTCCTTCCTTCCGGCCTTGATTTTCTTTTCGCTTTTCGATTAAAAGTTTAGCAAATTAAAATTGTATAATGACGGTGATTAGGCCAACAACAGGCTGCAGGACATTGTGGCACATTCGCGCTGAAAGCAACTTTAAAGAGCCTTGAATGCGAAATTGTGTCGCCAACAAATAATTAACGTGTGAAAATTCATTTCAGAACGCAGCTGGCCATGCACAAAATTTGCATAATGAGCGAGAGAAGAGAAATTGATTGTTATTACTCGTGTTCTGTGTTTTCATTTTTATTGTTTCTCTGGCATTTCTTTTTATTATAAATTAAACAACTTTATTTACTCAATTATGTTACGGTAGTGAATTATTTACATTTTTGGGTCGATTTTCGGTTCGTGTCTGTTTTGCTTACATTTAAAATATGCATTTCAATTTGGTATATATTTATTTACGCTTAACAATGGAAAGCAGCAACAACATTTAACATAGAGTTTTTCCGTATTTGGTATATTTTATTTTATTTTTGAAATTTCTATTTAATAGGTTTGCAGTTGAAAATGCCTAAAAGAAATTGAAAAATAAACATTCCCGGCTGACCAATTGAATAAGTTAGATGTTAAGATTTATTTATAACTATGACAAAAATTTGAAAATGACAATACATTTTGTCCACTTATTTCTTTTTAACAAACAATGAAAGCTTGGGATGATATTTTCTTAATTTTTTCTTAGTAAGGATTGCAAATGTCCTTGACATAGCATTCACATTTTCGCACTTTCCCACTCTTTAATGGTTACATTTCTTCAACGCGGAAAACCAAAAAACAGGGTACAACCAAAAACCCAAACTAAACTAAACTATATATACTTTCACCATTTATCAGCTAGGCGTTTCATTTGCAGTGTCTGTGTTTTTCTTTTTCATAGAGTATCACATTTTCTCGGTATCGGTCCGATTCAAGCAAAACTATTTTGCTGCACCAGAACTTAAATGTAATTTTGTGCGACCAGTTGATCGATCTCCTCCATTAGCTACTGCTGCTGCTCCGTTTCCATGTTCTTGGCACGCAGATACTTCAGCAGCATCTGCAGCGAGTCGTAGGTATCAAAGTCGTCGAGATTCCGCCGGGAGGATGACATGTTGGTGGGTCGGGGCATGGCCAGTGGAACGGGCAGCAGTTCGGGCATCACCGAGTGGTGTGTGATCAAGGCCTTCAAGCTGGAGAACTCCTTGCGAAAGCCCTATAGTGAAAAAAATAACAAATAGCTCAATATAAACTAATTGAAATGGGCTTCAAAAGTTATACATTTTCTGATACAGCAAACAAATATTTTTGAAGATTTTTTTATCAAAAATGTGTCCTTTTCTCACCTTTATTTTGTAGCCCCTTGGGGATCTCAGGATAATATAGTTTGCTATCTTTGGCCCAGGTGGCGAAGGTACGCGCAGTGTCAGTGCATAGCATCCTGGCTTGGAGCTGCTCTTGCGCACCAGAAACGCACCTGGGCTCTTGCTTTGCAGGACCTCTACGGCTATATCTCGGGAAATGCCCGCCTGATACCAGCACGCATCCTTCAGATCCAGGTCCTCCTCCTCGCCTCCCACATTCCCAAATGCGTTGGCCAGACTGCTGCTCCGCTGGGCACTGGCTCCCTGGTTCATCCGCAGGCGATTCGCAAAGATTTTGGGACTTGAGTTTGCTAGAAAAAAATGAACAAAAAATCTATAACGATGTGGTGTTGAAAGAATTATTGTACTACAAAACTATAAAATATGATAAGGAAAACTCTTTTAAAAATATTCTAGCCGTTCTTAACGTACCTAAAAATATTAATATTAAATATTTATTTCTCAATTTTAATAGAACTAAAAAAATAATGGAGTTTGAAAATAAATTTAAATATTTTTATTTTAAGTAATGGGTATATTTGTTGAAAAATTCACTGATTTAATCCGCGAAAAAAACAGAGTAAAGTGCTTACCGCTGCTCGTCTCCCTTAAATATCGCTTCTTCAGGTTGAACTCGTTGTTGTCGTTCAGATTGACATTGTCCAGCATTGGAATGGCTGTCAAGGATTGGCGGCACGAGTCACCGAACTTGCTGTCGATGTAGGAGTCCTCGTTGATGTAGCCATTCGAATACACTGGCTGGATGTCCAGGGGCGCACTCAAAGGGGTCATGTCGCCCACCAGAGGGCGTGACTCCTCGTTGTGACGCAGCAGACCCATCGTCAGCCGTTTGACCTGCACAGAAAAAAAGATTATATCATTTAATTGTACTATTTAAAGCAATGGCATTTAATTTTATTATTTTTAATATTCTTTGTTTAAATTTCTAAAAAATTGTTTTAAAAAATAACACATTCTTAAAAAAATACCCTAGTTTTGTCTAAGTGTAGACCCAAATCGACTTAAAGCTTAAAGAAATCCACCAAAAAAGGGATCAAAGGCGAAGGCGAAGCGTTCAAGTGGCAACAAAATTAACTACAATTTAAACACCTTGTAAGCCGACAAGGATCAGCAAAGGATGCTGCAGTCAAGGGCAGCGAGTGGGTGGTTGGGTGTAGGCGTGGGCGGGCAGGGGGCGTGGCCCGCAGCCACAGACGGAGGCGGAGCAGAAAAAAGGAAAGAATTTATTACCGAGAACCGCAGCGAGACAAAATGCTGGCAAAATGCGCCGCGCCACAAAAGGCGAAAGGCAGCCGGGAAAAATGCAGGCGAAACTTTTTTCGGGTATGCACTTAAACAGGAAACGGATGCTTGGACTAGGCATTACCGGTGGGTGGAATATAAAGGTTGGGGGTGGGGCTTGGTTAACACGAAGAAAGAGTGCAAAGTGCACAAGGAACAGAGAAAGGCGCATAAATTCGTGGCAGACTCTCGTGTCGGCTACTCATCCCCCACTCCAAACCCCTTTTATGGTACATTGCCACCGTCTAAAATGTTGCATAGCAAATGGCGGCTGTGGCATTCTAGGCGGAAATGTGCCGCAGGACTCGGGACTAAGGACCAGTAGCAGTAGCAACTGCGAAAAAAGAAAAGCGAACAATAGTATGTAGAGCAAGTGTTAAGTTGTGGTTGGAAAAGTACCAATCGACAGGGTAATGCTCTTTTAAATCTTTAAATCAGCAGAAGCAATTGTACTAAATATTTTGGTTACTATTAAGTTAATGTTTCTAATTTCACAATGATCATAATAACGGAATTATAAAAATATTGCAAAAAAAATTGTGTTTAAAACCATATATAACTTAACAGATAAAATTAAATGCAGGAAAAAACGTTAAATAAAATATAAGTTAAATTTATATTAAAAGTCTAATTAAATCTAGTTCCCAATGTTCATCAGAGCTTCTAAACCTCAACCAGTTTATTCTACCTTTATAAGAAATTGAATACCATTAGGGGATACTGGGTCCCTCCTGCACACACCCTATTTTTAATGGGTAAGCAGGCTAGTGAAAAACTAGCGCCCAGCGATAATTCAGATGCACTTGTGCGCCCATGTCGAGATCGTGTTGCCCTTCCCTCGCTTTTTGTCCCGTTTTCGGGGTCAGTGGCTTTGAAAAAGTCTGCCGGCACTTGTACAATAGTTGTCTGCCCGAAACTAGTCTACAGTCTAGTTGGTGGCCTCGCTTCTATTTCCCCCGTCTTGTCCCTCAAACCCTATTTTTTGTGGCATAATTTAAGGCGACATTGACAATGAGACGGTGGTTTGGGGGTTATCCTACCTGCTTTTTCCACTCTGACAGCAATTGTTTGCCCATAGCTGCATAATTCCGGAAAAAGTGTGCTCCTTACGAGCAAGAAGGAGGCACCATTGTTTGCATATTTCACGGCGCATTGCACACTGATTTGCGGCCATGTTTTCGTGGGTATTTGTATTGGTGGAGTTCATTTCTTTCTTATTTGCTCGATAAAGAAATGGGGCCCGTTTTCAGGTGTTTACATTTCGTGGGAGCTTGCTCTCCCTCCTTACTTTCCTTATTTACATTTCGGCTTTTGCTCATTTCTTTCCTCAATTTCAGAATAAATATTTTGGCTTTTTGTTCCCTGACTATACTAATTGCCCTGCTCGTTTAATGAACTGCCAGCTAGCTGGACATTAGTGGCAGCTGTTGCAAAGCCAAAGAGGCGGCACGTGCTCGACCCCCCGCCCTTTAGAAAAAGCAACAACGAACACTTGCCGCAAAATGCTCAACATTTATGCAAATTTAATAAACTGCCTTGCCAAAGGATAAGCAGCCAAAACGGGGCTAAATAAAGCTAAATAAAAGGGCAAAGCGAAAGTCGAGCGGGTTTAAATCAAATACACCAACTGGCAGTGTCTGTGTGTGTGTGTTTTTGTGTGCGGGTGTGGCTGTGGGCAAGTGGGCGTGGCCCACAAAATATTATTTATGACATTCGAGCTGAAAATATATTCCGTGCACACATGATACATGGGTAGGCGTGACGCAGCCGGATCGAAGAACCGAGTCAAACCAAGTCAAACCCAGGCACCAGGCCACATGCGGTAGCTGATAGCTGTCGCTCAATGTGGCCGAGTGGTGCACTCAAATAAATAGAGCTAACGAACTTTATCACCAAATTAATACAAAGTTGATTTAATGCTCAAGTTCTCTTCTATTTGGGCAAAAAAATGTATAGTTTAAATTCAGTCCTCTCCTATACCGCAGTTTATCTGACTCAAATGGACTTTTAAACCAAAAATAAGCTTTGTATAATTATTGAAAACAAATTTGAATCCCCTTTTATTCACCTCGAACAGAATTTCCCAAAAAGAATCATTCCTGAAAAATTAATTAGAAATATGATGTTATTTAAAAAATATTTTTCCTTTCCTTCAAATTTTTGGGATTTAACATTTTTGTTTAAGTATTTAGATTTTGCAGAAGTTTTTTTATGGCATCCTCAAGATTCTTTTCTGTAAATGAAAAATACATTTATAGAACAACATCGTTTCTTATAATCATATAAGATTATAAATTTTCTGGATGCTGGAAGAACTAAAAATAACTATAGTACTGTTATATAATTTAAATATTTTTTCCTCAAACATATTTTTCTCTGAGTGTAAGATGCAGGGGCATGGGGAGTCAGGTCTCGTTTGCCGTTGCAGTTGCAGTTGCTAAACAAACATTTAGCGGCGCCGAGTCAACAGCATCGATGCATCAACGCCAGCAGAGAGCAGAGCGTCATGACAGACAGTGCGTCATTTCCGTCTAAGTCGGATGGAAGTGGTGTATGATGAGAGGGGCAGGATATGGAGGGGGGTCGAGTGGAGAGGAAGGACGAGGGATGCCATGGACAAGGATATGCGGGTGATGTGCCACTCAGACTCCTGCTCCGACTCAGACAACCGACAGCAAACTGCATAATGTGGCAACGCATTTGTCTTTGACTCCTGCCAGGACATCTCTCCCTCCCTGCCCCCACCCCCCCACACTCCCTTGATGGGGCTCGCATGTGCAGCAGTTGCCTGCTGCTTTATTTTGCTTATCTGAAATTGAATCAACCAGCCAAGCAGACGACGACGACGACAGCGATGGCAAGTTGCCTGTTGGGCACAATTAGGGAAGCATCACGCCCCTCTATAAACTCCAGCGCCCCCCTTTTGTCCCGCCCATGGGGGAAGCAAAAATTAATTTGCTTATCGGGCCGCATCCTGCAACAGAATGATGTTATTGACAGGCAGCAGCATGTCGAACCACACAAAAAAAGAGGGACTGTAAAAAAACTATGCAAAACAAAAGGATATGCCTGCCGTACCATGCGGCGTATGCGTGTTATTTGCTGTTGCCGTCGAAAAATGTTTATAGCCGAAATTGATTTATTGACAAAACAAGGGAAGCGCCGCTCACTGCACAGGAATATGAAAAATACCAAAAGCGAAAGCACGAACCCTTTTTTTGCGTTTCTTTGTTTTCAAACCTCGACATATGCGGAATGTCAGGCAGCGGCGTACAAAGGGGGGTTGCATAGCCCTTGTATTGACAATATTTATGGTTTGCCATTAGGGCCAACTGATTGCTTTTCGCTTTCGATACGATTTCAATTTCTCAGAGTGTTTCAGGGCCCGTTGCTGTTGTTGTTGCTGTTGTCGTGCGCCATTCATGTTTCAGTTTCGGTGTGTGACTTGGCCTTGATTCGATTTGATTTCAGTTGCATCGGGCTGAAGGTGACCCCTTCCCTCGAGGTGGAGGCCATTAGTTTACAGACGTAATCACCATAATGCGCAATCGAGTCGCATTGCTGCCATAAATAAGACAAACACATAACGTATACGCAGCGTGGTCGAGTGCCAGCGAGTCTCTCTCGTATGAATAAACTCGCACGTACTTATCGCATAGACTATGCTCGACTGAGCACAGCTGCCTCGACTCCATATCTTCCTATATAAGTATAAATATATATATATATATAGCAGAGCTCACACTCGGGCATGAATATTTAAGGCGTTGAATTTATGAAAACAACGTGCCGCAATTCGAAGGAAAGGCTAAAGTTTTGCATTGCAAAACTTCTGCCTCGATCTCGCCCATCACGTGACAAAGAACACGGGCGAAACATTTGATAAACATTTCGCATGTGGGCAGCCCTTCGACTTCTACGTGTTATGACGAAGACAAAAAAGTTCAAAAGGGAAAGAGCCGAAAAAATCCAGCAAGCAATCCAGCAAATGGTCCGTAAGGACCGTACGGGTTGTGGGGGCTTAGTTGTCTAAAGTTTTTCTCCCTTAAAGGAAGCTTAGCTTCTTCCGCGCGGGAATACTTTCCTCCAATAATTCATAACAAAGCGTTGAAAATTCGGGAAATGCTTGGGCCACTCCTTCAGCCTGGCAGAAATGGAAAACCAATAAACGAAGTCCAAGTGTTGGCGCACCCTTATCAAAGTCAAACCCATCAAATATGTTTGATCTTCTAATGCAGGGCAAAATATTTGCCATACTTTGGCAGAACAAAATCTCTTGAATAATGGTTACACTCGAAAGAAAGTCTGCTTTAACAAAAAGCTTAAGAAAAAAAAAATAGTTTTGGCATAACATTTAAAATTGTGGACTTTTAACGTTAGGAGGGGACGTATTTTTTTATCGTTTGCCTTTGTAATGTGTTAACAAGAGAGAAATTTAATTTTCTCTCAACTTTGGCTTATAATATTTTTCCTAGAATTGAGATTTTCTTTAAACAGGATTTATTCGAGAGGAATTTTTTATTTCAACCTTTTATGATTTGTTTGGAGATAAAATATTTCATTTTATTTTATTTGGTTTTTATTTAACTTACCAAAGGAGGCTTGTCCGCCAATCGCTTGCAACTGTTTAGTTCGGTGGGCGAGTTGTCCTCATCAGAGCTCGGTGTTTTGGCCACCTTTTCGTTGTCATTGCAACTGAGTATAAAGTTTAAAAGTGAGTTAATTATTTGCTCTGATGAAATGATAAATATTTTAAAAAGTGGTTCATATGTTTTGACTTTTTGCTTAAAATACTTATTACTTGATCAGTGCTAGTAGAATATAGTAGTATTAGGTGTCGTTTATATATTCTATTATATGAGTGATAGGTGTTGTGTATTTCTTAATGAATGTGATTTAAGCATCGATTGGAGGGATCTGCTTGAAGTCGTTTTGTGGGCTACTCACTTGAGATTCGCGTGCGTGAAGAGTTGCAGGGGGCGGCGGCGTCCAAGACTTGCGGGCGAAGAGGGCGTGGCCAGACTTGTCTTACCCCGGCTAATGGTGGCCAAGGGGGATCTCAAAGCGGCCGAATTGGCCAATCCAGCTGGCTGACGATTGCTGCAGGATGATGATCGAAAACGGGCTCCTGCTCCTGTTAAAACGGCAGCCAAATTTGCTGCTATACGATTGTCAAATCGGTTGAAATACGAGTTTGAATTGGAGTTGGAATTCTGATTCTGATTCTGATTCGAGTTCGGATTTATATTTGAGTTTGAGTTGGAATTTGAATTTGAATTGTCTGCCGTGGGCGAGGAGTTGCTGCTGCTGCTGGTGCTGCCATTTCTGTTGCTCATGGCCGCCGATGTTGCCGCTGTGCTTGCGGTCGATGTTGCTGCTGCGACGGTGTTGCTGCTGGCGCTGCCCTGGTCATAATCCAAATTATTGTTGGTTATCATTGTGGCGGCCGAGCTTTTGGGCATTAACTTTTGGCAGCGGGTGTTACTGGCCGACGCTCTGAATTATGTGCGCATATAAAAACGCTGCGGGCGGCTTTTGTCGCACTGCGTGAGCCCGCCAGGACAATTCAGGACATCGACAGAGTGGGCCAGTCACCACCAGAGAAGCTCAGTGCGGCCTTTATTAAATTTGACTAGAGTGGGTGGCTCGGGGTGGCGGGTGGTGGGTGGATAGCCGCAGGGGTTCACTTGCTCCACTCCGACTGACTGCAGGACGAGGCACGAAGGACGACAACGACGACGACGATTCGCAGATTTAAACACAGAATTAATTCAAGCGGAAATTGGCAACGCAGGAGGGAGATTGGGGGCGCACAAAAACCAAAACAAAAATCGAAAGCGTGAAGCATAAACAAAAATGGCAAGTGAAAACGCAAATGAAAACGCATAGCAAAGAGAAATATTGAGGGGGAAAGCCACAAAAATGCACATAAATAGGAATAGGAAAAGGGAGGGGGTGGTGTTCGGGAGGGGGAGTTTTACAAGGGGAATATATCAGCCAGGGGTCGCAGTCATGACGTCACACCATAAAGCGCAGGATTTCAGGATGTTCATGAGCATGGTGGTGATGATGATGATGATGGTGTTGTTGAAATGTTTTTGTTCGGTGGTTGTTGTGATTGTAAAGGAATACATGGTTCCCATATTGTTGTGGTCATTGTTTTTATTTTTTTGTTTTGGTTTAAATTTCCCATTTTATGCGATTATCGATTACACAACGATTTTTCACATTTTGCAGTTGAAAATGTTTTTTTTTTTCGCCAATTAGTTGCCAATTTTGCGCATAAGTTCGAAGCCAATTTCGATTCGTTTCGTTTTCATGTTTTAAGTCCGAATATCATGTAAATAAAAATGGAAAAAATATGCGAATTTTGTAGAAAGTTTTTCGTTTTTTCAATTTTAAAATTTGCATTGAAAACTGCTGGGGAAAGCGAAAGCAATATTGTTGAATCGATATTTTAGCATCCTTTTTTTTCTGGAGCGCAATCTGAAAGCGAATTTTCAATGCAAATCCGTGGCTAGTTTTTCACATTTTTTCCTGTCTGTTTTTTGCTCTAGTTTGGTATTGATTTACTCACATTGGTTCGGGGGCAACCAAACTTTTCATTGGGCTTTCCTCCAGTGGGCCACGTTCACAGATGAAAGTTGAGTCCACTCATGAGCTAAAAATAGGAGAACAAGATTTTGATTTAATTAAAATCAACTTTAAGCTGCGCCCAAGTGAAAGCATGTGTGTGAGTTTGTGTTCGAGGCTGTTCTATGGCAATCATTAGACGTTCATAGTCAACACCTCATTAGGCGACTAATCAAGCGTGCGCTGGGCACGAAATAACAACCAGTTCAGTCCACCGGCAACAGATTAAAGGAGCCAGGAGCCCTAGGATCGGAAGGAGGAAAGTCCGGAGGAGGAACATGGAACAAGGCGCCAAGCCACAGACACTAAACAAAACCAAAGCAAATCATCAAGATTGCTGTGGGAGGTGGGGCGAAATTCCATCTAGAGATGAGAGCGTGTTAGCCCCACAAGAGCCAAGAACAAGCACGAAACAAAATTACAACATGGAAAAAAATATAATTAGGATTTTAAGAAAATCTCATTCTTCAGAAATTTGTTTGGGAAATTCTACTATTAAACTAAAATATTTAGTAAGGCTGAAAGAATTGCAAGTCGCTTATAAATCTCTCGATTGCTTGAATAAATTATTTTACTTACATTTCTAATAAAATTATATTTAATTCAACCTTTATAGCTTTGGCATATTTAGGTTTATTTAACTTTAAGTTCTTTCCAAATTGGGATAAAATCGCCAAAAGCTATAATAGGTACACTATTGATTAACCACATTATCTTATTTCCAATTATTATGATTATTATGAACTTGAATAGTTTTCTCTACGTGCAGTCATCGTGGACCGGGCAATGAAGTAAACACGAAGACGATGCCGCAAATAAAACGCACAGATTAAAGGATGCCCGGGTGAAATGTCTTCTTAATTACTTCGCAGAGTCCAGGGGCTGAGACTGCGAAGGATAAACAAGCCGTGGTGGAGTTTGTTGGAAAAAGGATCTGCCGGGTGGGTGGATGACTGAGGCGTAATTGAGAAGTCGCCGGGCTGGGACTCGGAATTGGGATGGGTCCGCTCTTCGGGTCCTGCTCTCGGGTTCCTGCGTCTGCAGCGCAGTTTAAGCGGAAGTAATTTAATTAATTACAAATGAAACGGAAACACGAGCAAAACGAAGGCGACGGCCATCTGGCTATATCCTTTCAGAATGCATCGTGTGTCGATTGTTTGTTCAATGGGATGAGGAGTAACTCCGACAAAAAGAACGACCCAAACAACAAACAACAACAAGTGCGACCCTTCCCATTTCAGTTTTTCTTTTTTTTTTTTTTTGCATATAGGCAAATTGGGAGTGGCCTAAGCGTTTTTCAAAACAACAGCGGAAAATTAAGGGACCGGAGCTCCCAGCCGACCAATTAAATTTTTCTACGCCCTAGGACCGCAAACTATTCGATGTTAGGGTGCACATGAGAAAATTGTTTGCCGCAGTTGGGCTTTTTATGTTTCTATTGAATATTCTTTGAAAGGTTTTCTTTAGGATATTATATTTTTGTTAATTACTTTAATTCAAAACTTTAATCCAGTTAGAACGTCTTAGAGAAGATAAAAAAATTTTAGGAAACACTTAAGTAACTAATTCAGTAATTGGAAAAGTTAAAAGGCCATATACAATATTATAGACTAAGATATCTTATTGTTTGAATCAAATTGTATTGTATTTAAAAGAATGTTGTTGCAGAATATTAGAAACTGTTTTTTAAATTGTAAAAAAAATTTGTTTTTTATCTTCAGAACGATATTATTTTTAACATCTTGGTCATTAAATTAATGACTTTTATGCAATTATATAGAGATTTTCCAAAGTTGTTACTTAGAAAAATTGTTATTTCTTATCTTGATTTGATTTTTTCGTTGAGTGTATATGCACGCACACATTGTAGTGAGCACACGCATTAAGCACAGCTCATTTGCATTGCGGTTTTAATTGGCATTGGAATGGCGAAGGGGCGAAGGGGCGAAGGAGCGGCGATAGCGGGCTATTACCTCTGGCCCCGGTCTGCACGGTTCGCTGGCAGGGCTTACAAGGATAATGAAAACAATTTAACGACTCTCCCGACAATTCACAGGACCAGAGGACAGACGGCAAACGAATCCTGGTTAAACAAATCTTGAATCCTTTTTGCCGCCTCTTGCATTTGCGTTTGCCATTAAATTTTATAACCACCCGTTCGCCCAACTGCCCCAGCGAATGCTGCGTGTCTGCGCAAAATATTTTCAGATATTTTTTGACATTTTAATGAAAATATTTTGCGTAGCAATCCAGAAACCAGAGCAAAAAAAAATTAAAAAGGCAGTTAGCAAAAAGGACTGGCCAGCGGAGTGATGAATCCTTTATCCCTTCACTGGCTTAATATTATTTTAACGAAGCGGATTCCCGCGGAGCAGGATCAGTGGAGTGGGGGTCACTTTTAAGCCCTGCTGATGGCCAGTAATTAAATGCTTGACATGCCTTCGGGTGTGAGGTTTTGCGGGCCAGGGATTAGCGCCACTAAGAGGATGTCCTGACAGAGGGAAAACCCTCAACGTAGCAGAGAGCAGAAGTGAACAATTAATGAGATAGAACTTCATAAATTCCCGCCACTCATTTTTTGCAGTGCAATCTGGGAGGTAAATTAACACTGAAGCTGGCATTATAATTATGGCATGTAGTTAAGGCGATTGCTAAGCTTCAGCCGTCAGGTGAAATGAAAGAGTAAGGTTTTCGGAAACTTTGCTGTGTGTTAAATATATATAAATTTATTCAGGATTAAAATTCTTTTTTGTAAAGGGTCCTTTATGTAAACACTATAAATATTATATTATTATTGTCAGCTTTTCAATGTTAGTTTTGCGTCTTTTGCAATATCTGAACATTTCAATCTAGAGCCAATTGATAAGATAACATATTGATGACATAAGGCAGAGATCTTAAGATCCTATATTGTGTTTGGAATATTACAGAATATAAATAATTACTTATTTATAAGCATTAATTTGTGAATCAGGAATAATGTTTCCTTTGCGAACTTTCAAAACTTTGTTCTTAAATTTAAAAGTGCATGTATTAGACTTGACTGACTATAATTAACAGTTTATTACAGCGTGAAGTGCATCCTGTTGCTTCTGCTTATCTTTCTCCTCCTGGCTCATTAAATATTTACAAGTTCTCAATTTGCTTAAGTGAGCATCGGGGCCCAACATCACGGCTTTGTAAAATCAACAAGCCTAAACAAAAATATTTGTCTGCCAGCAAAATAAGAGGGAAGAAAATGCCAAGCGGCAGACAGGACGGGTGTGGGGTTGTTCGCAAATTAAAAGAAATCAAAATCATATGAGAATTTTCAAGTGATTGCCGCATGAGTCCTTGTTCGCATTTTTTGTTCGCAGGCAGGAAGCGCGGGCCAACATAAACAAGCAATTTAACAGGCACTCACACACACTCTCACAGCCCTCGCACATCACACACACAGACTGGGACACACATCCTTAAGGATCCGTCGCCAGTTGGCAAACAAACGAAGCGTTCAGGCGAAAAAAGCCAGCGGAGAAAGGAAAAAAACTCGGGCAGCCTCGAAACAAGCAAAGCGTTTTATATGCCGACACCAGAGTTAGTGCTAGTGTGTGTGTGTGTGTGAGTGTGAGTGTGGCACCGCAGATTTCTCTCACCCACTCACATTGCCACACACCCACACATCCTCACACTCGCACTCACACCCACACACATGCCAGCCGCAGCCTTAAAGTATGCCGCAAGTTTTTGCCGCTCTTTGTTAATGAAATTTTAATCAAGCTGCAAGCGAAAAAGAGTTTGCCAACCAAGTTTGGCGAGTACACATGCCGCACTCCTTTGCTGCGGCTCCTTTAAAGGCGATTTCCCTTTTTTCTTTCCGCCAAATAGCCGGCAGCTTCATTAGAGACGCCCCGGTCCACGCTGCGTATGCGTAATAATTTATTTAAAATGCAATTCGTTTATGCCAGACATTAATCATCCCAGCGAATGCGATAAGACATCGAGTAAGTCACGTACCGAGGTCGGCTGCATTTATTAACAATTTACGTCATAAATAAAATTGAAAAACATTCATAATGTCAATGGCGGGACGAAGAGAGCGAGTGAAAAGTGAGTGAAAGACGTGCGAGCATGAGCTGATGGCAATTTCATAAATTACGGCCGGTTGGTGGGGCTTTAAGCGGGGGGAAGGAGGTGCGGATGAGCGGCTGGTTTACATAAATTAGACAACAAATTTTCCAGCAAAATGGGAACAACGCGCAGGCAAAAGGTAAATCACAAGGCGGCCCAAAAATGACAACATTAAAAGCAGCCAGGTGGGGTAATGTACTCTTAAATGGACACGGGAAAAAAACGAGGACATCATATGATATATTATAAAGGCTTAAGAATCTACTATACAAAAATAATTATATACACTTTTACTAAACCGGAAATTCTTCAGCACTTTTCTACGATATATTTCAATTTTTCATCTAGTTAGGTATTATTTATTATTATTAAATCTTATTTTAAGTGCCAAATAATGTTTAAATAATTAAATATTGTATTGACATATTACATTAAAATTCGTTTTTATTTTTTTTTGTTTTTTTTCTCAGTGATAATTTTATGAAAACACTTTTACTTAGAGCCTTAATTCCCTGACCATTTTTTCGTGGTATCAGGCAGAGTTGTTTAACATATTTCTGTTTTGCTGTGGCTGTTACGCCTTTTCCTGGCCGAATTGGAGTGAATAATGTTCGCTTAGCACGGCAAATAATTATTTCTCGCTTACTGCCAACTGGCATGCTATTTGGCAAGGGCTTTAAGGATTGCTTTCGGTCCCTTTCAACCGCCCATCACCACCCACTTACCAATCCCCCCATTTCGGTCCCCAGTTCATTATGTGAATTTTGAAATTGTTTTTTTTCCTCTTCGCTCTTGTTTCTTTGTGTTTTCTGCTGCCGGGCATAAAAACAAAAAAAGAGAGTAAAAAACAAATGCCAACACGTTGGCTTGGCTGAGCAACCCCTCAAAAAGGTGTTGAGTTGAGCCAAATTACAAAAAATTGCTGCTGTTGTTTCTGTGCATTTTTCTTTAATGATTTGAATATGCAAAGCGCGCCAAACAAAGCGAATGAAAAGAATTTTAATTAGTTTTCGGAATGTTTTTCGGTGCAATTAAAGCCAAAGGCAGCCAGAGCAATAAACCAACCAATTATTATTCTCGGCTATGTGGCATTCAAAATTCTCCATGCTCTGGTGTATGAAAGCAAAAATGTTTGGCATGCTTGACTCGCAATCAGTTAAATGCAAAAATTATTTTGCAAAATAAAAATAGCAACTAAATATGCATGGCAAAGGTAATCAATTTGAGAAATCCGTATCGAATTTGCAAACAGCATAGAATTTTTCATCTTGGAAAGCGGAGGAAAACAAACCAGGCCAAGATGGCAGTAAGGAGCAGAAAACGCCCATTCACAAGGATTTCTCTACCTCGCTTTAAAAGGACAAGGAAAAACTATTTTATATATACAACGGAATAATTCGACTACCTTTCGTTCAATGTCTGGCCAATGTCCCATGACGTCCCCCCTCGAAAGCAATAAATGTTCAAATCAATTGAAACGTTTTGCCAAAGCCTCACACCCCGTGTGAATCCACCCCCGATATAAATCGAAGGAGGAATGGCGGAGGAATGGATTCCTGGACAGCTTAAGGCGGCGATTTGGTTAGCCTCCGAACAACAGAAAATCGATAAGGGATGCTGAGGAATGTCAACTTGTTTTGAACTAGTCAGGCCCAAGGAAACCAGATCCTGTCCCACATTTGAGAGCAGAGTCCGAATGGGATGGTAGTCTATACTATATATGTGGACCAGAAATCGACAGAAGTCGACGGCAATAAAACGCCATTTGGTCATAAAAATAGTCGAACGTTGCAAAAGGCAAGTGAATGCGACAACTGCCCCAGAGGGGAAATCCCCGGAGGGGAGGGGACGGGGACGGGGCTGAGGATCCTGTCTGCCAGGGCAAATTACGAATTTTGCATATTGCCTTTCTTCGGCCTTCTCTCTGTTTGGCCGGTTTCTTTGCCCCTTTGGCCCATTAGTCATTTCGGTGCCGGGCGAGTTTTGCCAGAGACTACGGCTTGGTGTGTCGCCACTTTGCAGGATGAATGACCCCGGCATAGTTGCTCCCACTTTTCCGCCAACCAAACCTCCCCACTCCCCCTCGGAAAACCTCGGCCTGCGGAAATTGCGCACACGTCACAGGACAGCAATTTTCATATAACCGTTTGCCATTTTACTCATCCTTTCCTCAAAACTGGAATAGAATGAGAAAAATATCGTATGCATATTACGTTTATTCAAAAATGATACGAAGTCTGTTATATAGGTTTTTTTACCAGTCAAAAATAGCTTTAAATTCCTATTGAAAATCATTATTATTGGATAAACATAAGAGGCTGTCAATTGGGCTAGTAAACTATTTTTCCGATAGATTTATTTTCGCTTACTTAACACTTTTAAAACGATTGTTGCCATTAATTATATATTTGTTTTAAGTACTTCAATGCACGCCGTGTTTAACCCTTGTGTGTATCTTTATTGCTTATATTCACGTTTAATTGATTTTCGCAACCGAATGCATCAAAAATTCATGCGTGTGCAATTAATGACATTACCGGAGCTCTTGACCGGGCGAGGGTTTTTGTTCAATAAATTATAGTCATTATCGTTATTAAGCAACATGAAGAGAGCTCCATAAGCCCGCGCATTAAATTAATGCGTGTTGAATTTAATTTTTAATCATTATGGACGTGATGAAACTGACATGGAAATTGAAAATGAATTCTAAAATAATAAAACAAATTAAAAAACATTTTCAGGTCATGTGTTTTAAGAACGTTGCTGGCAAATAAGTAAAGAAAACTTTTTACCTTTTTATTTTTAAGCTTTTTAGCATCACACTTTTGTGCATAATGAGCCATTGTTTCTGTGAATAAATTGCATAGAAAACTATGAAAAATTAACTTTACCTTTTATTTATAAGTAATATTATAGTAGCACAAACGGGGTTTAATATTAATTACACTTTATTTATACTTGACCGTTCTCTCTTAGTTCTTATGCGCAATTGCTTTTAAATTACATGGCGTCGGTTTTAACATTAGACAACGCGAAGTTGGCTGTTTAAGCTGTTTTTGTGAAATTTTCTTTATATAATAACTAGTTTATATGGTTTTCTATACAACAGTTAAAGTGGCTTGAATAATTAGTGGGATGTGTATCTTTTGGCGGTTAAATGTTGCCTTGGCAACTTGGTCTTTCCCCAATAGCCTGCCACTCCCACTCCCTCTCCATCTCCGCCTCCGACCACCATTACCTTACTCACATGTAGGTCAAAACTGGGTGAGCAGAAGCGCGTTGCATACCTTCGGGCTGTCAATTTATTTTTCGCGCTTCGCATGTTCTTGGGCCATGTTTTTCCGATTCTCCCCGCTCGTGTTCTTGCGTCCTTGAAATTTATGCGTTCGACGCAGGCGAAGCGCCAAGTGTTGAGAACATCGGAGATAGGCACAAGTGCCACATGGCGTGTAATGCGCTCATTATGCTGCTGTACCTACATATACCCATATACATTTATATATATATATATAGATGGATGCCACAAGCAAAGGATGCCTACCACTTTCCGCCCTTGGAACTGGGCCAACGCGAATGGCATTGTCTTTTGGGTCCGCCGTCGCCTCCACCGGAGAGATAATAACAACAAATTATTACACTTGCCGAGGGACACTAGTGGGGGCAATGAGGTGGGGAACGGGGGGTTTTACTGGGGCAACTAAATTAAGCATATCGTTGATAACTCAACGCAGATCGGACGGAATGCGATAAGGCAAAGTCCTTAATCCTGGCTGGCTGGCTCTTTACCATGCTTATTACCACTGTTGAAATAAGGGTCTTATCATCTCTGCACTGGAAAAAGTGGTTTAAAGAAAGAAATTATAAAAGAACTGAATTCCGTTTTAAGCAGTATTATTCAAGGATATACTACGTTTTTTCTGACAAGCATAGTTTAGCTTAGTAGGTCATCCCATATTTGTTAGTACAAACTTGTTATTGCCTACACACAGTCCGTTGAAATAAGTAAACATTTTTTTTATAATTTTTGAGATCAAATGGCTAGTCATAAAAGGAAATTCTTTAAAAAAGGCCAAACCGCTCCTGAGAAGCGGTGGCGTCGTCAAGAGCAGGCTATTAGAAATGAGGAGCGACAGCAAGAACGAATGCTGAAGAAGGTCCCGAGCTTGGGGCACCTTACTCATTTCGCAACTACAGTATTCAATGCCCCTAATCGTGAGGGGAAAGTCGAAGCCGCCATTGCCACTTGCCAAATGCTTTCCTCGCATGCTGTTCCAGCCTTAGATGATTTGGCGCACTCCAATATTCTGACTATTCTCGTGGAATCCCTGGGGCAGGAAAATCCCTTGCTGCAGCTAGAGGCTGCAAATGCTGTAAAAGATATTGCTTATGCTTCACCGGAGCACTCCCTTCAGGTGTGATTCATTCTTTAAGTATTTTTTTTTTAGTATTAAAATAAAATGATTTTTCACAGATTGCAACCTCCGGTGCCGTGCCTCTCCTGGCTGAACTTATCGTCTCGCCATACTACAAGGTCTGCGAACAGGCGGTGTGTGCTCTTGTGAATATCATAGCCGAAAGTCCATCGCTTCGCGACTTCATCGTCAATCACGGCGTAGTGGAAAAACTAATCTATCTCCTGGGTCATAACGAGATCATAGTTCAGAAATCCGCTCTTCTGTGCTTGGCCAACATTGCAACCGGATCCGATGAGCAGATTCAGGTGTTGCTCAACCACAACGTGATGTCCTGCATGCCGGCCCTGCTCTCCCACAGCAAGGAAAGTGTTCGGTGTGAGGCCCTGTGGTTTCTATTTAAGATCGCCTCTGGAAACGCAATGCAAAAGCAGGCCGTCGTGGATGCTGGCCTGCTGCCAAAGGTTGCGGAAAATCTTAGAATTGGAAGGGCTGCTTTAAAAACACCCGGGTTTCTAACGATATGTGTTCTGGCCATTAACAGCAACAGGAATTTTCTATTATCCCTCATTAGACTTTGCGTCATCCCGGGGCTATGCGATCTGCTCGGATGCCAGGACGATACCACCGTGACATACTATGTGCTTTTTTTGTTGGGACTTATGCTTGGAGTGGACGCTTCTTATGCGGAGGAGGTGGCCGGCATCATCCAATTTTCCGAGGGTCTTCGCAAGATACAGGCACTTCTAAACCACGCGGATGTCGACGTCCACCAACTGGCACGTCAACTAATCTGGCAATACTTCTCGGATAACGCCTCAAATGGCACACAGATTTGAAGGCACTTCACAGTTATCCACAATCTAAATTAAGTAATGTTTTCTAAATTTTAAATTTATTTCTAAAACTTTGAGGTTAAGATCATTTTAAGACAAATATCAGAAAGACTTATCAGAACATATAGTTGTATCACAGAAACCTCCACCAGAGATATTTTTTTTGGCTACATTTAAATCCCTAGTACTTTGTACTTTAGTAGACGTTTTTATAAATAAACACACTTATTTTTTAATCATCTATACAAAAAAAAGTAAGATTTGTTTTTTATTTAAAAAATGGTTCATGATTATTTTTGATTGCACATTATGCACAGAAATATTGTCATGCCTTAGCAAGGTTCGCATATATTTTTTAAAGTTGTACTGTGGTTTGCCTTATTCTTAGCAATTTTAACTAAGCCTTTCTACTCAGTTTTTTCTCTGTGTGGCCATGACCCTGAGTAACAACCATTTATCGATTTTTAAACAACCATATGGTGTTTTTGAAATACACATCTTATCTCAATGCTTTTCCATTCGACGCAAAAGAATCGTTAAAATATTTTTTTATTTCATAATTTTCGTGTCAATTTGTGTGGAACGATGGTGGCTTCTTCAGGTCCCGCATCAATTGCACTTCCGCATGAAAAACAAGTTTCGTGCGAAAGCCAGATTATTGCAATCATAAATTTTTATGATTTTCCCATTGGTTGCAGCTCGAGGCAAGAGTGTGGAAAGTGTGGGCGGGAAAGGCGTTGCGAGTTGTGTGGGCGGCCTGGGAAAAGTGCTCGCATACCGCACGAAATTTTATGTGTATTTAATAGCCTTGCAGATATGATGCAGAAAATTATTATTCTCTGGCCGCGAAGTCCTCTCACCCCCGCAGCAATACTATAGGAAAGCGATAAGGAAAAGGAAAAGAAGCTGTATGTATTTGGAAGTATATATACCAATACATTTTCCCACATCAGCTGCCAGAGTTTGTGTGTGTTTTTTTTGGTGGCCATTAAAAAGGAAATTTAATATAAACTTAGCGCAAAATGACGAGGGCCGTAAAAAGCATATTGACAATGCCACAAGATCAAGCCATCCCATCCATCAATCAATCAGGCCTGACAGCAGCTGTGGCAGCCGCAAAAATGTATCCACAGGAGACTTGTGGCAGGTAGGACGAAAAAAATGTAATCTAATCCAATTACTCAACACTGGCAAACGAGGAGGGAAGGATTTTCGGCAGGGCGCTAATGGACGAGTCCCCAAACAAGCCGGATATCACATGTCTACAGAAAAGTTAAATAACCCAGGGCAATCGCAAAGTATCAATGGCCAGGAAAAAGAGTGCGGAAAAGCCAAAGCCACGGGCATATTTACATCATCAACCCCAACTAACCAAACGAATGCGTTTGATTATTAGCCCACAAGATTCGGGGTGTAAGAGTGCAAATCCTGGCCGAAAAAAAAAACAGAAATTGAAATTCATGCTCATTCAGAGGGTTCTTTGTTAGGGCCATGGGGCTTACAAGATGGAATATCCCCCCAAAGCATTCTATTGACGAAAATTATCATTTTTGTTGCTTCAATAAAACGACAGGCCCGAAACTAATATGGTTTCATCTTATCCCTCCTCCAGCAGGCTTAGGCATGAAATTGAAAATGTAACAAAAGGAAATTCGGGGGAAGAAAAGAGGAGAGAGAGGAATATGTAAGCCTGATTGGATGGAGAGCTAGATGATGATGATGAGGTGACAGTGATAGGGAGAACTACTTCCGTAAATGAATCTTTGGAATACTTTTCCCGATTTTCATGGAATTCACTTCGACCAACACCTTCACCTTTCACTTTCGGCAATCAAATGGCAATTATACCCACCCGTAGTTCAAATATTTTCCCGTATATCACCATCAGATGCCAATGCTGATGATGACACTGAGTCGGATACTCACAACCCGAACCGATTATGCAAATTTGTCCGGGTTAACGATTTCATTAAATGCCAGAACCAGCCACGCCTTATCACCCAACTGCCCCTGTGGTCTAGCCAACTAATTTCAATATCAGCCACCGCCTCCAGGAGCTTGCATTAATTCTCACATTTAGCCCACAAGCCGCAGGAGGCGTGTCCTTGTTGATAAACAGCCACAGCAGAGCTTCCGTTTAGTCTGCCAACTCTCGACTCATAACAAATCCCCCGGCCTCGTCCTGCGACACACACAGGATGTCCTGGATAGGCGGTAGATCGGGTGGACATGGGGCGAAAAGCTGAGCGACATCCCAGCAGCCAAGGGGTCAATTTGGAGCGTATCAAAAAGGGACAACAGTTTTATAAACTAGAGTTTTGCAAGCTTAGACCAAAGAAAGCCCAAGAGAGTGGGAAATGGTCGAAGGACTCGGTCTGGCCGGCATATTTATAAACACATTAAAAACGCTTCACTGGCATGCCCTGACAGGATATGGGAACTTGATGAGTTATCAGTTGGTTGTACTGAAAAAAAATAATTCAGGATGTGAAACAATAATAACGTCATATCGAATATTGTCAAGGAGCAGCTTACATTTCTTCTATATTTTAAAATTGATTGGAGTCACTAAAGCAATTACAAATTAAACAATATTTTACAAACGTGTACAATGGAAATTTGTAATTCGATATTCTGCAAAAACTAGTTGGAAACTGACCAAGAACTGTTTGTGTTAGAAATATAAATAAAAATCCTTAAGCTTTCCCTTAGTGTGCAACTAACTCTTTCTGCCTCCCTGCCCCCAAAAATTAACGGAAAACAAGTCAAAGTCAATGTTTGTAGATGTGATGTGCTGGTTGTGGGCGAAGTCCCACAGCATGTTTTAAAATGTCAGTTGCACATGAGACTGGCAGGGACCTCAAACCTCAAGAACCTCAGCAGTCAAGCCACTGGCGGGCAAAGGGGTCCCACCACCGGAGGTCCTGTGTGTGAGCCAGTGATGAGGAATTGCAGCAACTTCCAGCTGACGGTTGTTAAGCTTGTCAACATGAAGCGATGGCAAGTCGCAATGGGAGCAGGGGGCAGATGGAGCCAGGACTTGGCGTAACAATTGGAGCTCCCCATATGCAAGCGTACCTCCCTAACGACCAAGTCCTTGCATTTCTATTCCCCCGACTCGTTCCCTTTCCAGGTCAAGCCACATTTGACCCGGATTTTATCTAAAAGTCAACAGTTTAAATGCCATTTAACATTTTAAGGCCGCGGGGGAGTGCATAGCGATTTGTAACCTTCATGTTAATACTCCAAGCCAAGTTATTTATGTAAATTACTGGCAACTGCAATGCCAACTGCTTCGAGGATGCTGGTAGGGCTAAGACCCCTTAACTCCCAGCGTTCATGTTTTATAATTAAGTCAGTAATTTAAGAGTGTCGGGCAAGGGAAACTTTTTTCGCTTGCAGCTTTACTTGACTGCATTCCTTGTGGCTTGCAATTTGGTTGCTGGCTGGCTGGCAAACATTTCGCTGTCCCTCCTTCGCTTTTAAATAGAGAAAACCGGGACAGAGAAAAGCCGTGCGAAAAAGCGGAAATGTTAACAACTACTTTGACATTTGCTATGGCTCCGGGTGCGAGTGTTGCGGGGTGGGTGTTTGTTTGCAAGTTGAAATTACTTAAGTGCCAGCGCGACGAGGCGTGTGAATGCCGAACCAAGTCCCCAGTCCCGACTGAATAAATGAGTTAGAGAGTGACTGAAATGGCTGAAACGGAGCTTAACTTCGACTCCAGCTCATAAATTAATGTCGCCGCATTAAAGCGTATTGGGGCAGCTTTGCCCCGCTCAGTTGCAGTTGCAATTTCAGTCGCCGTCGGAGTGTTTTTCAAAATGAAATAAAAACTGTGCTGCAGTGTCGAGAGTAACAAAAGTTGCCCAGGCCGAGACCCAGATGCAGCCAAGTGTGAAGGACAACAGCAACGATACGTAAAATAAAGCAGGGGAAACGGATATGGTGGGGAAATACGACTGAAAATTACCCTGTTTTTACAGAATTCTGAATGCTTTTGATTTATATGAAGTATCTATTGGTTTAAAACCACTTGTTTCTCTGCAATACAGTATTCAATCATGTATTTTATTTAGGGAAAATATAGTTCTAGGTATTTAAGTATATTGCATTTAATCGTTGGAAAGACTTATTTCAAATATCTTCTTTTCTAAAATATATAAATATTTTCATCCCATTTCATTACACTCTCATATTCCCCGAGTACTGATCACAAAAAGAAAGCAGACTTAAATAGCAGGAACAAGTGCTTCGCCTTTAACGAACTACAAATACTCTCAGTCGGTCTAAGGACCTTGAAATCCTTACCTAACTCACATGCAAAAAATGTTTTCTTTGTCGGAAGTATATCCTGCAATAGGTTGCCCTGAATGTCCTGCCATCTTCACTTCAAAGCTTTTGCCTGCTGTGAAAAGGAAGCCGCTGTGCATGTCGGAGTACAAAAATGTTAGTTAAATTTCGTAGCTACATTTGTTTTGTGCCAGCCTGGGAAAGATATAGGTACTGACACAGAGAAAAGGCGGCCAGAGTTGGCAACCCAACTGCATGCATACTGCATAAGTCAGTCAGTTTCCCCCATTCCCCGGCAAAAAAGGAGAAGACGGGGCATTTGGTAGTCCTGGCATGACTGTAAGACTTATTGTTCGTTGACTTTTTGGCAGCAGTCGAGTTGCCTCTCTCATTTTCAAGCTCACACTCGAAATGAAAAGCCAAGTAGTTCTCGTTTTCTCTGGGATGGAATACAAATATTTTATAAACTGTTGCAAGTTATTAAAACGTCAGTCACACTGTTTTGCATACCTGTTTTGCACTCTGTTTTGATTTTCTTTGTTGCAACTTCAGTTTCAGTTTATCTTGGGCCATTTTCTTTTAGCCAGACTGCGACCAGACCATGGCTCGTAATATATCCTTAAGGTATACATTAATTACAAGGATCGTAAAAGCCGAGAGAAGGAAACCTGCGACTTGCAATGCCAGCAGACACGAACTAAAGCCCCCCGAGATGCCGACTCTTTTACCTTGTGTTACTTTTTGCATTTTACTGCCAGACAGACTAGAGGTCTTTTGAGTGTTATATATATATATTCTCCCGGCTCGTTCCCTTTATGGCATTCCATTGTTTCGGGCTGTAATCAGGCGGCAAAATTCGAGTGCATAGTTTATATGCCTCCCCGCAGAAATATTTGCCTCCAGCTGCAAAGGCTTTTCATAAATTGCTGCTTTAAAATTTCCCAGGAAGAGG